ATTTTAAAACGTATACGGTAGTGTACAGGAAGCCAGTGAAGTCTTGCTAAAATTGGAGTGATGTGCTGCCGACAGCCAGTATTGGTCAGAAATCTTGCTGTCGCATTTTGTATCAGCTGAAGGTGAGATAATGCGGCTTTTGAAATGCCAAACAGAATTGCATTGGAGTAATCCAACCTTGAGGTGATGAACGCTATTGTCCTGTAAAAACAGCTAGTGTGAAACAACTCCAAATAGGTCACACAAGGAGCTGTAACAGATGTGCCTACATTCATCAAAACCACAGCTAAATGTGTGCATTCTTAGTGGATTGTGAGCATGCATGCAAAGAGATAATGAGGCTGCAACTGGTGTTTAATAAACTTCTTTCCAGATCCAGCTTATTTATCCCAGGGTCTTGAGTCAGAAAGGGTGTTGGGTAATTTTATCAATCCAAGATTACCTTAGGGAAAGTTTAAAGCACAGGGGGTTATAGTAATCAATCAATCAACACCAATACCAATCATAAACAATCAATTTAGACTTTGCAAAGTGGAGAGGAAAAATACACACCAAACAAGGGTCTCAGTTCACTCTCATCAGACCTTCCGAAAGCATTTATTAAGCACACACAAAGATTAACGCACACACATTTTGACATTCCTTAAGCCCCCTTCAGACAGGCCATGAAAAACGGAAATGTTCAGGACTCTGTCCGTAAGACCTTTGTGTCTGAATACAAACATCCGGATAACGTTTTCTGTAATTAAAGAGGACGATGCCCCCTAGTAACAGGTCCGGACTTGTTACGGACAAGGTGGCTGCTTCAGACTGGTGAGGTCGAGTTCTGGACAGGGAGGGGGGGGAGACCGGGGGACGATGTGCGCTCGTAGATAGCTCGCTCCTGTAGCATGTGGCGAACCAAACCCCCGGACATCTGGAACTTTTCCCTGCTGTGTGAAGGCAGCCGAAAGGACAAGTTCCGGTACAAGTGTTGTGACTGAAAACACAGTTCTGGTTTAAAACCGGACTGAATTGTCCACACATATTCCAGAATGTCAATCTGAAAAGGGCTTTAGACTCTCAGGCGGGAAAGCTGTAAAGGGAGTCTAAACTTTCTCCAGGTTAGGGCTGCACGATATTAGGAAAACCTACGATATTTGATAACAGTGCTTAATATTGCGATGAAGCTACGTTTAATAAGGTACCAGATGTTAACAGTCAAGACGTTAATATTAGTTCAGTAATAATAATATCAGTTTTATCCAACAAAAGGGTAGAATACCAGCTCCAGGTTGAAAAGCCTGACAGATCTACGTCACACCTTCACTTAACATTCATGGGCTCACCCATCTTGACTTGTGACAGGAAAGGCTTAGCGTCCAGGAAGCAACAGAGAATGTCTCGACAAGTAGAAGCTAACCATTAGCATTAGCATCTCCACCACACAGTAGAACTCCTTCAGGCTTGTGTTATTTGTGGAGATAAAACATCAGTATTGCAAGTCAGTGGTAGAGTCACATCGCGATTATCCGTAAACAGATCTCAGTCGTGGGGCGGAGTCTATGGTTGTCCTTCAAACTGTCTCTGCATGCTGCTGGACAACAAACAAAGTGATGTACTCACCTCTAAGGATTTCCGTCAACGGGGCAGTCTGCCATACTCCATTGAAGAAGATCCAAATATATCCTTTTTGCAAATTAACAAGTACCTCTATTTGCTCTTGACTCCTAGAAAAGCCAAAGTCCAAATAGTCCAAAGTTGATGCCAAAGCCAACGCCATCATTACTTTTTAACTCAGTTGCCGATAGACCACTGTGATTGGGCCTGCGTTTCAGTCTGCTTAGGCTCCTATGGAGTGGGGTTTGACCAACATGCAGAGCAAAATAATTTTTCTTCTGCTACGGTACATCTAGATGCCTAGGCTAGTGAGTTGCTGCGCTTTTGCAACATCAACTGAAATATCTACATACGAGGATCTTGGTTTAAAACTTAATTTGGCCCCAGATTCATTTTTACATTAAACTACATCATGTCCACATTTCATTAATTGTTGTTCTTATCAATAATCTGTTTACAGTTTGTGAAGGAGATGGACAATGAGAAGAGAATGAGACTTCTGCAGTTTGTCACAGGAACCTGTCGTCTTCCTGTGGGCGGCTTTGCTGATCTGATGGGTATGAGAGTAGAATGACGCTTTCACACCTGCATACATTGTTTTATGATTCATTCATTCACTTCTTCTTTGTTTCTGATGTATATACAGGAAGCAATGGCCCTCAGAAGTTTTGCATCGAGAAAGTAGGCAAAGAAAACTGGCTTCCACGAAGCCACACCTGGTAAGAGTTTTTTTTAATAGTTTTTTATAACAAAATATCCTTCAGCTGCAGGTATGACACGATATTAAATCCAGTCTGACATATGAATGAATTCCAAGCCTTTTCAGTCATCTCCTTAAGATTAGATATAAAAGATATCTGTGAAACGTCATCATGTCTTTTGTCTTTAGCTTTAATCGCCTGGACCTCCCTCCATATAAGAGCTACGAGCAGCTGAAGGAGAAACTCATGTTTGCCATAGAAGAGACGGAAGGATTTGGACAGGAGTGATGCAGCCGCCGTGTCCGTTTTAGACAGAAAGCACTTTCCAGTTTAGAGATGATTAGAATTTAGTTTTAAATAATATATTTTTTAAAAAGTATTCATTACTTCACACCAGACCTGTGATTAATCCACCCCAGCCTCCTTTCACCTGAAGGATTTGTTCCTGACTAATCCACCTGATTTCACTTTACTGCGCTCCGCCCATCCAGACGGTGAAGACGCCTTTCTCGCCGTCATGTCTGCACTTGCAGCTCGTTTTCTGAACGTGCAACGTTTCTGAAAAGCCAGCTTTTCTGTGCAGCACTGATATGAGCGAGGATGACAGAAATGTCGTTTTCTGACTTAAAATGTAAAAATCAACATTAACAGTAACACAAAACCTCTTTTCTGATTTTTGGGGTCTTTCTTTTTTTTTTTTTTTTTTTTTTTTTTTTTTTGATATTTGATATTTTTCTAATGACTGACTACTGTAGCACATACGCAGATTTTCTTTTAAGTTGACTCTTAACTTCTTTTTTTTTGCAATAATATTTAGTCTTCTTCTGTCAGGATAGTTTTTTATTGAGTTGAGACAGTAAACCAGTTTGCACTGAGCACTGAGGCTGTTGTGGTTGTTGTTGAGGGGATATTTTTATGTGCAATCGTTTTTTAAACACTTATGCCAACGATGGAATCAAACATGGCTTTGTTTGATTAGTTCATCATAACTAGACTTAGTGTTTGGTATTCATTGCAGCTTGATGTGAAGGCGAGAAATTTGCCATTATTTGAATCGTATTGGATGAGATTGCATATCAGCGTATTAGACCATCATCTTCCTGTCAGTCCCAGACAGATTGTGAATGTTTAGATCAAAAGCTGTTACTGGTGACGTGGGACCTTGTGCTGTAAAAGGTCACGGCCTCGTCCCACTGAATGGTAGTCAGTTCTGTGCCGGTTGTAAAGAGACGTGTCATAAGAGCTCAATAGTTGATTAGTCTGCAGCTTGCACACGTCTCTAAATCCACAATTAGTCTTTAAACTTTCATCTAATGCTGTTTATGTAAATACATCTAAATATAAAAACTATGAGCTCTGAAAACACTTTGATTACCCAGATATAGATCCACTCTGATGAACCCTAGTTTTATAGGGTGTGAGCAGATTTTCTGGATTTTCTGTTGTCTTACAGCCCCTTTGGTGTAATCATGGAGGCTGATCGACATGTAGAAACATGCAAGTGAGTATTTTAGTATTACAAATTTCATTGTAACCCAAATTCGATTGTGCATTTGCTGTTTTTTTTTAGCTATAATTCTTTGATAAGTGAAATGTAGTGGGTGAATTTTATTTATTAAGATCTTGAGTTTCTTGTATCAATGACCTGGATTCTTTGGCGATAAATAAAATTAAAATGTGGAATGTGTGTTTTCATTTCAGTTTAAACTTTATTACCTTTAAGTCAGTTCTTTTAAACAAAATGTTCTAAATGAGCATGACGAAAAGACATTTGTGTTCTTGCCTGGTAAAAGAGAAAAATTCATCTTTAATTATCCATAATTTTCTTACATTTTGAGTCCAGTAACCCATATTTGCTTTTACTTTTTCTGGTCTTAAGCCCTTTAGACTTACTTAATTAAATTTATTTTGTGGCTTTGGCAATGTTTTCTGCAGCATAATCTGAAAAATATCAACACTTGACAGAAATTTAAGAAAAAGTCAAGAAATTCTCAAAGATGGATGTCATGAATGTAATTTTATCTGCTATGAAATATTTTGTCAAAATATTTTAGCTCCTCCACTTGTCTAGTTTGCTCATTTTAAAGCTTAATAGGGACTTGACAAAGAAGCAAAGTCCAAAGAGGTGACAAGTGTGCATATATTTATTTAAAGTTACAATTATAAGATTTTGAGTCAAGTACAAGCTAAATACATATAAAAACTTAAATGATTGGAGGTTTAAATTAAAGCTGCAAGCAGCGTTGTTCGGCCCTCGCCGCTCCGGCCTGGCCAGTCCAGGGCATATCCGGTGGAACAGAAACGTCGACCACCCCAACACCAAAAACCACGAACGGTCTCCTCGTCCGCACCTCACCCTGATTCAGCATCCCCTCTGAGCACACCATTAAAGTCCACGTCTCACTTCTACGGCATACTCTTATCTTTACCAAACAGGTGGAGTGATGACACAGACCAACTTGAATGCTAATCTGACCACGTTTTTTGAAGTCATTGAAGGTTAAATTTATCTAGGGGGCGCTGTGACCAACCACAGAAAAATCCCATTGAGGTCAGCTTTGGTTGACGAAGATGGTTTACTGTTATTTTGGCATCAATCAGACGTTGTGTGAGTTATCTAGAGCAAGTGAGCTGAAAGGTGCGGAGCTACAGGGATTTGAACCAACAACACCATCAATGTGTTTGGTGCAGTCCTGTGATGTCACAAGCCAAGTTAATGCCATTCTGACCTTGTCTTTAGAAGTTAATAAAGTTTGAACCCATCTAGGGGTGCTGTGACTATTTACAACTAAATCCCATTGAGGTCATCAGAGATGGTTTTCTGTTAATTTGGCATCAATCAAACATTGCATTGGTCATCTAGAGACAAAATTGAATGCCATGAATGTTAAAGGTTGAGCGATATAAGCAATTGACTCAGAATTTATTTAATTTACTTCCCATCAGACATTTCCCAGTCAAGAGCAGAGGGTCCTGTGATATTCTTCTGGTGTTTTTTTCCCACACACAAACATATTTTAACCTGATATTTGTGGCTTTGCAAAATAAATTGAATGCAAAAATTTCTCAAATGCTGTGTGTTGTTGTATTTTGTCTATGTACAGTAAAAACTGATGTTCATTTGCATTAACGTTTTTCAACATGGTGTAGGTGGTAAACTGTATCTACCATACAAAACTGGGAAGAGTATGCAAGTATGTTGGACTGTACGTGGCCCCTCTTTAAATATTGTGGCCCCTTGATGGCCCCACCCTCAGAAAAATCCTAGATCCGCCACTGCCTGGAATGCGTGATACGGTGCATAACGCGAATACGGAGCGTTTTCAGTGTGACACCATCTTCATGTCCTGCATTAATTTGTGTCCTCCGCCCAGCTGTCCGTCATGGCGGGTCCTGGCCCTGACCTGATGAGAACTCTTCTGTATACAGTCAATACTATTTTACAGCAGGAAAAATATAAAGCAGCTTTGGCGGTTGTGAAGGGGTTCAGGAACGGAGTCGTGTGAGTGAAAAACAAGTTAGCTACGTTAGCTTAGCTTGTGCTCTTTTAGCCGATCAGTCAGAACCATTGAACTTGACCTTTGGTTCTAGTTATGCATGACGCTGGGATGCCATAACGTTAGTGATTATTACCATTTAAAGTAGCAGAATGGTATTTTGCATGCAACATTTGACCATTAATGCAATAAGAAAGTTTAGTCTCAAAAACAATTCAAGCTCTGAACACTAAGCTAAAACTCCCCTTTATAACAATATGTGTCGTCTTTTGCCTTTACGTCATTAGTTTCCTTCTCTGGGCAGAGGTTTAGCCTTTTGTGTTGGTACTTTTGTTTGTTTTTGAAACCTTAACCAGTCAGGGTCTGCTAATAAGCCAACTGTTTATTGTTTTAATGGTTTGTATGTGATTGAATAAATAAATAATGTCTTTTCTTTGAAGATATGGGGCCAAAATCAGAGCACCACATGCCTTGGTTATGACATTTTTATTTAGAAGTGGAAGGTAAGACATTTTGCACCCACCCCAATAAATAAATAACGCAGTATAACAAATCAAGGCTTTGTTTGTTTTTTGTTGATAGTCTGAAAGACAAACTCAGAGCCATTCTGAAAGCCACATACACCCACTCAAGGAACCTGGCGTGCTTTGTGTTCACATACAAAGGTCTCCAAGCCTTACAGCAGAAGATCCAAGGGAAGAGCTTACAGTCGCACACGTTCCTGGCTGCCTGTGTTGGAGGATGGTTAGTGTTTGGAGACAACAACAACATTAATAGCCAGGTACGAAAAACAACAAATTATAGCCCCATTATTTGATTCTTTTTGACACACATTAATAAAGTTTAGTTTTTGCCCTTTTTGATAACACAAGACGAACATACCAAAGATAAACACATCATAGCCCTCCATTGTCTGCTTCACTGTCTGAAGAGGTTAAACAGTCCATGAACGAGGAAGTCAGTCTTACGTGATGTTCCTTCAACAGCTAAACTTTCTGGCACTTCTCTTATTTACCTGAAAAATGTTTTACCTCATCACTTGTTCTTTACTCAACACCAGACCTCTTATGGTATGTACGAATGGATTTATTTATTTTTTTGCTGTTTTCCTGGGATCACTCCTGTACTTATATTTGAACAAGTATAAAAATCCTTTAGACATTATTGTCTTGACCAGATTGGTGATACATTACTGATTATTGCTGCTTTCATCCAAAAATTCTATCAATGACTTTGCTTTGAAGGGGACATATTGCAAAATCACCTTTTGTATTATGTTAGACCAACTTATCGGGCCAATATTTGACATTTTTATATATCTGTATCAGCTGATATACCTCCTTACTAAATTCAATTTAGTTGGGCACATAGGCAGCCCGGTACTGCCTATTCACATTAATGAATGCTCTAAAAATGATTTGCCAAAACAAATTGTATTTACCAGTTTAGAATATTTAATAATTGGTCAGTTTACTGATTTATTGATTAGCTTTACTGTAGTTAGATGTCTGCTTTTAACACCGAGCAGTGCACAAAATTAACATTTAACAGTTGGTTAAATTCAGTGTTCAGAAGATTCAGCTTCTGAGATTTTGTGCATCCTCTGACATTATCTGTTACATTTGAGCATAAAGTTAGGGTAGGAAATGTCTGAATTTTTGTCATGAAAATTGGCCCAAAAAATCAGCAGCACAAACCGGCCATCGGCTGACCGTGACCTTTACAAATCGGAATCAGTATCAGCAATAGAAAAATCAATATTGATCAACCTCTAGCTCCAAAAAACAAAACAAAACAAAAAGTAGCAATTTTCTGTCAGTGTTTGGTCTTAGGAATGATTTGCAGTAAAGAAGTCGTTTGATTTAGAAATCAAAATAGAACCCCTCTCATGTGCAAGAGAGAGTTACTGCTAGAGTAGCAGCAGCTCTACTTTGAGTCTCTCCCAGATATCAGAGCTTCTCAGCTAATAGCAGCATGAGTGGGGGATTGGTGGACGTGGTCAGCTCCAGCAAGTTTAACTAAAGTGAATGAGCCCTGAAACTGCTCAATCTGGAAGGAAATTCTGAAATTGCAAACACCTTTAACGTTTTATAATCTTGTGTTTTATTTGCTTATTTGTTAATAATGATTGATATTGTTATTTTTTTCTAATATTATTTCGTTTTTTGTTCAGCATATTTCTTGCAGTTCCTTTAAAAACCACGCCTCTTGTTTGTGACAAAAAAGCGCACTCCCATCATTTTTTTGCTAGACTGCTTGACATTTTCCTTGGTTTACCAGGATTTTTCTACTTTAGAGCAGAGGGAACATCTTCCACATGTAGGTGGATTCATTTGTTTTCTGATCAACATTTGATGAACTTTCTTTCATTTTCCCACTTAGATCAACATGTACCTGCTGTCCCGGATCCTGTTTGCTTTGTCGCGGCTGGCTGTAGAAAAAGGACTCATCCCTGCACCCAAACAGGACCCTTTCCCGCTCTTTGCCACTCTGGTTTGGGGAATTGTCTTGTGGCTGTTTGAGTATTATCCTCACACTCTTCAGCCTTCTCTCCAGTCCTCCATGAATTACCTCTACCATGACAGCAATGTGTGGCACGACATCTCAGACTTTCTGGTTTATAATAAGCCAAGGACTGCCTCACCAAAATGAAGACTTAGTATTTGGTTTTCTTTATTGAGTTTCTCTTTATGATGGAATTGGTGCACTACTACAATGTTTTATAATGACTTTTGTTGCACTTTAGCTTTGAATCACCCTTTTGTACATTTTTATTGGTGTAATTTTCTGCTTTTTGTTAAAATTGGGAAATTTTCATTAGAGAACATTAACAGGAATTTGGTCAGCCACTGCTTTGAACCATTATAGTAGAAATAATCATTAGAAAAAAAGGATTAAAATTTTTTTTTTCAAGATTTATATAGTATGCGTTAAAAAAATTAAAGGGTTTTCACACAAAAAAATAAAAGTATCAGGTGCAAGATTCAAGTTGCTGATGATAATCATTCCATTAAAAAAATTATAACTAAGTTCTGTCTTGAAAACGATGAATGAAACCCTGACGTTCTCATTTTCTGGTGATATTTTTAGACTATAACTAATGACTAACCTTTACTCTAATCGTGTGATTCTTTGGGCTACAACAAATCTTTTTTATGAGTTAATCCTCTTAAAGATGAGGAACTCCTGTCACCACAGGTGAAAGAAGCAAAGGGTGTGCATATCATGGGTTTAGTTAATTTATTTGGAGTGCCTGAAGGTGTGTCATAATTGCTTATAACAAATAAAGTTCTGGTTCAGAAAAGCCTGCTTCTGGTTTGTCTTGAAAAGCCTGAGTCTTTTTTATGCAACTGTACCAACCACTGGTGTGAAACGGTAACCTGGCTAGCCACCCTATCCACGACCCATAGATCTCAGTCGTGGGGTGGAATCTACGGTTGACTTTTAAACTGTTTCCACATGCTATTGGACAATGAACATCGTGAAGTACTCCCCGCTAAGTCATCGGGGCATACAGAAGACGCAAATACATCCTTTTTCTAAATAAAGGCCTTAAGTAACTCTGCTTTTGACTCCCAAGAAAAGTCAAAGTCTAAATAGGCCAAAGATGCTAAAGCTATTTAAAACTAGCCGTCGCCATTTAAGATTTTCCGCTCCGTCGCATCATCCCACCTACCAAACTGGTACACTTGACTAGATCTACATCCATCCATTGTACGCTTATCCGGGGTTGAGCCGGGTCAAAGGGGCAGCCAGACCGACATGCAGAGCAAAATCGTTTTCTGCTGCTGTTTGTCTAAATTTCTAGGCTAGTGAAATGGATTTTTCTGGACCAATTGAATTCAAGTTTATTTATATAGCGCCAAATCACGACAAGAGTCGTCTCAAGGCACTTCACATAATAAACATTCCAATTCAGGTCAGTTCATTAAGCCAATAAGAAATAATGTTTCCTATACTGTATAAGGAACCCAACAAATTGCATCAAGTCACTGACTAGTGTCAGTGACTATACAGCAATCCTCATACTAAGCAAGCATATAGCGACAGTGGAGAGGAAAACTCCCTTTTAACAGGAAGAAACCTCCAGAGGATCCTGGCTCGGTATAAGCAGCCATCCACCGCGACTCACTGGAGATCGAGAAGACAGAGCAGGCAGACAAACACACACACACACACACACACACACACACACACACACACACACACACACACACACACAAACACAAAGACAAAGTAATGTGTCTATAGTTATATTGTGATGTCCTAGTAAATATTCTATTTGGTGAGAGATAAACTTTATTGTATTTGTCCTAGTGGATCTATAATTAAACGAATAAACTAGCAGTAGCACATCCGTCAAGGAAAGCAAAAAGTTATTATCAGGAGAGGGAGAATGTTTTAGTGGTTAGCAGCAGTGTGGTAGACAATGACACCCTCCACGAGGCCGCCACGGCTCAGCAGAACATTGTTGTAGCGTCTCCTGGGGAGAAAAACACTTAGAGAGAAAATAAAGTTAATAGCTAAAATTGCAGGAAATAATACAGTTAAAGAGCAGATTGTAGAAGAAAGCAGTAGAGTGTGAAAAGTGGTCAGTGTATCCTCCAGCAGTCTAAGCCTGTAGCAGCATAACTACTGAGATAACTCTGAATAATCTATCCTATTTAGATGGAGGCATGCTGGAGGCAGGGCAAGGGAGAGCCGTCTTCGCCGACTGTACACTCCACCTCCCTCTACTCCCCCACTTGTCCTGATTTAGGCTAACATCAGATTTTAACCATAGGCCCTATCAACTAAAAATGTTTTAAGCCTATTCTTAAAAGTGGACAAGGTGTCTGCCTCACGGACTAAGGCTGGGAGCTGGTTCCACAAGAGAGGAGCCTGATAACTAAAATATCTGCCTCCCATCCTAATTTTAGATATTCTGGGAACCACCAGTAGACCTGCAGTCTGAGAGCGAAGTGCTCGGTTAGGTACGTATGGAACAATCAGATCACTGATGTATGATGGAGCTTGATTATTTATATGTGAGAAGAAGGATCTTAAAATCTATTCTCAATTTAACAGGTAGCCAATGTAGGGAAGCTAAGACAGGAGAGATATGATCTCTCTTTTTAATTCTCATCAGAACTCTAGCTGCAGCATTTTGGACAAGCTGAAAACTTTTAGCTACATTCTATGGACTTCCTGAGAGTAATGAATTATAGTAATCCAGTCTTGATGTAATAAGTGCATGAACTAGTTTTTCAGCATCACTCCTGGAAAGGATGCTTCTAATCTTAGCAATATTCCGAAGGTGGAAAAAGGAAATCCTACAAACCTGTTTAACCTGGGATTTGAATGACATGTCCTGATCAAAGATAACAGCAAGGTTCCTTACTTTGTTCTCGGAGATTAATGTAATGCCATTCTGGTCAGGTGATTGACTAAGCAATTTCCTTTTCTGGATTTCTGGTCCAAAGATGAGAACTTCCGTCTTGTCTTGATTTAAAAGCAAAAAGTTTAGAGTCATCCAATTTTTTTTTCCTCAAGACAAGCCTGTAATCTACCTAACTGATTAGGTTCATCAGGGTAAATGATAAATATAACTGAGTATTGTCAGTGTAATAGTGGAAATGTATCCCATGCTGTCTAATGATTTTACCAATTGGGAGCATATATATAGTAAAAAGAATTTGTCCAAGCACTGAACCCTGTGGTACTCCACAAGTAACCCTGGAGTATGAAGACGATTTGTCATGTACATTTACAAAATGAAATCTGTCAGACAGGTAGGATTTCAACCAGCCTAACGCTGTTCCTTTGATCCCTACAACATGTTCTAGTCTTTCTAAAAGAACATTGTGATCAACTGTGTCAAAGGCAGCACTGAGATCTAACAAGACTAGAACAGACACAAGATTCTTATCTGAGGCCATGAGAATATCATTTGTAACTCTCACTAACACAGTTTCAGTGCTGTGATACTCTCTAAAACCATACTGAAATTCCTCAAACAGAGCATTAGTGTTTAAATGCTCACATACTTGGATGGCCACTATTTTCTCCAGGACTTTGGATAAAAATGGAAGGTTAGATATTTGTCTATAATTCATTGGGTCATCTGGAGCCATTTACTAAGGATAGATTGATTATATCTAGAATGGGGGCAGTAACCAAAGGAAAGGCTTCTTTAAATAATTTGGTTGGGATTGGATCCAAAATGCAAGTTGAAGGTTTAGATGAAGCTAATATTTTTGATAACTCTGAAAGCTCAACTGAATCAAAACGGTTCAAGCACAGATGAGGCTCAACAGTCACCACTGATGCTGCCTCACTTACTGAGGAAGAAGAAATCGCATTAGGGAGGATGTTAAAAATTTTGTTTCTAATAGAATTAATTTTACTTGTAAAAAATCCCATGAACTCATTGCTGCTGAGGGCTAAGGGAATAGATGGCTCAGAGCTATGATTCTGTGTAAGTTTAGCAACTGTACTGAAAATAAATTTAGGATTATGCTTATTCTCCTCAATTAATGCTGAGAAATAAGTAGTTCTAGTTTGTCGAAGCTTATTTTTATAAAGCACAAGACTATTTTTCCAGGATAGGTAGGCCTCCTCTTGGTGCGTAGAGCGCCATGTTCTCTCCAATTTTCTAGAGTTTTGTTTTAAGGCTCGTAAATGAGAATTAAACCAGGGAGCCAACTTCCTGTCCCTAATTACCTTCTTTTTTAAAGAGGCAACATCATCTAATGCCCCACGTAAAGAGGAATTAACATGATGAACTAAGGCATCAATTTGTGAGGGGCTAGAACTGAAAATATTGCCCTCTGCTACGTTCCTCTGAGATGCTGAGGACAGTAAAGATGGAACAGTTGATTTAAAAGATGCAACAGTGTTGTCAGGTAGAGACCGACTATAGTGAAATTTACTTTCATGTCTCGAGAACTCAGTTATAAAAAACTCAAAGGTTATCAGAAAGTGGTCGGAGAGGACTGGATTATGTGGAAACATCGTTATTTCTTCACACTCTGCCATAAGTCAGCACAAGGTCTAATGTATGATGGCAGGAGTGGGTGGAGCTATGTATTCTTTGAGTAAAACCAATTGAGTCTAAGATATTACTAAAGGCTACATTGAGGCTATCATTTTCAATGTCCACATGAATATTAAAATCCCCCACTATAATGACCTTATCAGTATTTAGCACCAAATCAGATAAAAAATCAGAGATCTGATCCAAAAACTCAGAGTAAGGGCCTGGTGGACGATATAAAACTACAAACAAGAGTGGTTTTACAGTTTTGCAATCTGGATTAGGAAAACTAAGAATAAGATGTTCGAACAAACTGTAGCTATTAATTGGTAAGGGACTGATTAATAAGTCAGAATGAATAATGGTTGCTACTCCTCCTCCTCGCCCTGTACTTCAAGCAATATGATGATTTAAATAATTTGAATGTAGAAAATAATTGTAGTAATAACAGTGAGTGGATGTATGCAGACAAATGTTATTTTTATCTGGAGAATAAATCTAATGTGTTTTAAATTTGCTGTATTTAAATATAGTCTGGTTTTATCATTTTTACTTTTTGGTATTTTTTTAAATATTAGGGCACAAGTTATTTAATTGGGATTAAATAACTAAGTGGTTATCGACCCACTGTGGTTAGCTAAAGCTTAACTGTTGGCTAAAAATGGTTAGTGGCGAACTAATAAGTGTAGTGACTGATTGGAAAATGTCTTAATCCTCTACGGGAGAAATTCATCCTTTGTTTGAAATAAACTAAAACAATTTCACAATAACTGAAAAACATCCTATGCTTACTAGATTAAAGTAAAACATTCAGATTTAAATGATCTAACCTGACATCTGTGTTTGAATTCAGTAATCACCAGACAGCTGACGTCAGGACAGCAGATAAATAATGAATCATTAAAAGTAATTACAGTTTAGTCTATAAAGAACCAGTGTTGCATGGACATAAAATATATTAACTGTTGAGTTGTCTCCCTGGAAACCGCAACGATGCACATCATAGAGATGGAGCACATACGTCATCATTTCTGGCATGGAACATGTGTTGGTTTTTATTCAGAAATTAATGCAATTTAAGAGTTAAACCAGTTCACATAGTGTCTACTGTACAAGCCTGTGGGGGCAGTGCTGTGATCTGGGATTGCTGCATTTGGTTAAGTCTAAGTTCAGCAACAGGATGTGCTCCAAGAATGAGGTCAGCTGACTACCTGAATATACTGAATGACCAGGTTATTCCATCTTTCCTGATGACACGGGCATATTCCAAGATGACAATGCCAGGATTCATCAGGCTCAGATAGTGAAAGAGTGGTTCTGGGAGCACGGATTGGCCGCCCCTGAGTCCAGACTTTAATGCCATTGAGAATCTTTGGGATGTGCTGGAGGAGGCTTTGTGCAGCGGTCAGACTCTACCATCATCAGTGCAAGATCTTGGTGAAACATTAATGCAACACTGGATGGAAATAAACCTTGTGACACTGCAGAAGCTTACTGAACCAACGCCACAGCGAATTTGTGCCATAGACAATGTATAGTTTTTACCATTAATCTCTGGAAACATCCATCAAAATTTTGTTGAAAAAGAATTAAATGATGCCCAGTTGTTGAAAAATATTGGCGGCTTTGTAACATATAACCATAAAAATCAGATCTAAAATACACGAAGCGGGTCTAAGACTTTGGGCAATGCCATCTTAGATGCCATGCTTCCTTTCTCCCGTGAGGACAAGACACACTAACTGATGTGTAACAAATGGTCACAAAACTTTCATTATTCATAAATATTGTTGTTTTACACATTTACCTCTTCGCTCATTGCCAGTGATGAAAGCGAGTCTGATGTGTTTGTTATTTTGTTGGAGGTTGGCCTGCCAGGGATTTTTGACCCTAAGGGCCATCCATTGGTAAGGTCTCACTCGAACACAAAAATACTGCTTGCTTGCAATGATTTAGGTAAGAACTGCCCCCCTATGGCCAGGGTAAATACATATCATCACTTTAAAGGTGATCCAACAAAATATTGGCATATGTGACTTTTAATTTTTGGTCGCGCCCTGAATTTTCCAATAAGCTAAATCGCAAAATTTCAGTAATTTGTTTGATAACGAGTTAAGAGATCTTTTCAGTGATCATCATTTATAGCTCTTAAGGCTCGTTTTGTAAAATAAACAAAGGGTTTGTGTCAAAACAATGCCACAGTGAATGTGTGCCGTAATCAAAGCTAAAGGTGGTCCAGTGTATTTGTGTGTGCTTTAAGATTGGCTTTGCAATTCTTGTATGCCCTCATAAGGTGATACAGGGACACCAGTCATCAAAAGAACTTGTCATGACTCCAAGAAAACACTCAGTCACCAAAAATGCATCCCTCCCACTTCAGATAGATGTCACACCAGCAGCAGAAGGGAGCAGCTGTTGCACTTATCTAGTAAATATGTGGAAGTGCGTCAGTCTGTGCAAACACCAGCCCAACACAAACTCCCACGTTTCCATCGGGTGAAATCATGAAGAAGATTTCATTAATCCATGTGTGGGAGTTTCAAAATGTGTTGAAAAAGAAATGAAAACAATTTTTTTCCTAAAGTATTTTTGCACACAATGACCTTGACATGATTTGCAGTGTTGTGCAAAATTCTTAAACAACTTTGAAATTTCAGTCAATTCTGATGCTGAACATGATGACAGCAGGCAAATGTGGGGTTCAGTTATCCGAAAAAATTCAGCAAAGTCCAGAAAACAAACTCAAGAGATGCATCATCCTTTTATGCCGGATGTAACAAATCAAGTTGTTTTCTTCTTCAACAAGCTCTGGAATGATTAAGAAACAACAAAAAACAAACAAACATTTTAACTCATTTTATTTATCTACAATAAAATGGATAGCTGGATACTAAAAATCTTGGAAGTTCAACACTTTCACTCATCATCTTGACTTCTTTTCATTCAGTAGGGTTGAGGGGTCCGGAGGTCATCATGCATGAAGCGAGGCCACCTCTGGACAGGCCACCAGACCACCACAGAGACACACAGAGACAAGAAAACAGTCACACACTCACTCAATGACACCTAGCGGAAATATAGAGGCCCCAGTTAGCCCAACAGGAATGTTTCTGATCTGTCAAAGAAAACCTGTATATGCATGAACAGAGCATGTTACGTTCACTCAGAAAGGCGGTTGCCAGGATTTGAACCTATGACCTTTGTAGCGTGAGGTATCAATGCTACTAAGTGCACCACCCTGCAGCCCAAAGTTCATCAGCTCAGTGGCCTAGCGGTATGAGTGTCCATCCTGGGACTGGGAAATTGGAGTTCAAATCCTGGTTGGGTCATATCAAAGACAGGAACCCAATGCCTCCCTGCTTGATGCTCAGCTTCAAAGGGGTTGGATTGGGGGGATTAAACCACCCAATAGTTCCCCAGTGTGGCCCCACAGGGATTGGTCAAATGTGGAGGACCAATTTCATCACACACCAATGTGTGTGAAATAACTGGTGGGACTTAATCTTGAATCCCATTTTCAGTTTGCTTCACCTGATATTTGGAGTTTCTCGTGACTTTTAAAGGGTGCAACAAATAACTTCTGGGTCGCTCCGCTTTACTGGTTTCAGTTTTGTAAACCATTGTGGAGCTTTTGGCCTGCCAGTATCGAAAAACTGATCGGCAACCTCACAAAATCATTGAGTGTAAACAGTATCTATAATATAAATAATAATAAAGCATAACTGAACAAATTTACAGCAGTTTAAGTGAAACAGTTGTGTTATTGACTCGGCCTATGTAGATTAAATATAGAGGCACCATAATAGGTAAGATTAGTGTAACAAAATTCTGTAAAGATGCTTTTCAGCTGTTTTAAGGGTTCTTCAATGGGGAAAGATTAAAAAAATTCTATAAAGTAAAAGAAAAGCATAAATTGGGGAACAATTTAGCATCTGATTAGCTTAACTAGTATGCCGTTTATCTGCTGCCTCTAGATAAGAATACTTAATAATTTGTTTCTTTATGCAGTAATTAAATATACATTTATTTGGTGGAAATAACTAAATGTAAAGAAAACATTTAGGGGGAAAAAACAGCTGAAATCCTGTTTGCTGATCACTCCATGTAGCTACAGTAGCAACAGTTCACACACAAAGAAACTGGCAACACAACTCAATGTTCTTTTATTGAAGAGGGTCTGATTGCTCATCACATTTGTACACTTTGTGCATGACGCTGTACAAATGTCGCAGGACCGGCAAAGAGGGCTGTGCCGTGTTCTTGCATGTGTTTGGTTGCTCATAACTCCAGGGCCTTGGAAACAATTGAGGATAGCAAACCTGTTCACCACCTGTAGGAACACCTGCGGAGGGAGGGGCTGAGGAGGTATATAAAGGAGGATGTGGACTGCAGGAGCACATCACGTTGTTTTGAGATTGTTTTGAGACGCACTGACACACATGGAAGGTGAGGTTTGTTTCAGGGATGCTCGTTCTTTGATGCTTGATGTGCTGTTTCTAAAATCTCCTTTTTTCCTCCTTGCAGATTTGCATATTCAATATGTTAACCTGGAACAAGCTGAAAACCATGAGAGACACAGAACAGACGGCTTCAGCAGCACTGAGGCCCTGGTGGTCCGGAGAGGAGACCCGTTCAGGATCAGCGTCCAGCTCAAGGGCCGACCCTTCAACCCCAGGATGGATTCTCTGAGGATCAAAGTCACGCTTGGTAATCCACTTTTTAATTTGCAGATTTTTTTTTTTTTGGATCAGTGATGATTTACAGCAAGATTTTCTGTGCATCAATACAAACCAACGATTGCTTTCTTCCTCAGGCCGGCTGTATGTAACAATGCCAGTCACCTTCTCCAGGAAGGCTCCTTCCTCTGGCTGGAATGCCTTTATGGACCCTAACGACCTGGACCTCCAGAACCCCTCCATCTTCATCTGCCCTCCTGCCTTCGCCTCAGTGGGCTGCTACAAATTCCAGCTGTGTGTGTTCACACAGCAGGGCCAGAGGAGGTGTGCAGTGGGAGATTTCATCCTGCTCTGTAACCCCTGGTGTTCTGGTGAGTGTGAGCCTGTGGGTCACCGCAAACAGCTGATGTTGAAGCTAGTCAATCAGTCAACGCCTGGAGGTTTAGTTGAGGTGTGTCACATTATGACTCAGAATCTAAAATGTTAATGGTTCACTCTCACCTTACACCTTGTCTGATTGTTTTCTCACCTTTTTATAATCAGAATACAGTTTTATTTGGAGCCTCAGATGCATTTTTACATATTTTGAATAATATTTCCTCTAAAGATTACAATTAAATAATGACTTGTGAATAAGATTAAGTGTAGAAAGGACACTTTTCTAACATTTTTAAAGAAAAAAACTAGTTTGAGCTGTATTTGCTGATTTATGCAGCATTTTTTCTTTCAGACTTAGTTTCTCAGTCTCACACAGACACACTGATGAACACGAGTTAGCTAATGTCTGCGTTGCCATCTCGCCTGAGGGAACTTTGTCACGTCAACCTGCAGAAACAGCTGCTCCAATTAACCCTGTGTATTTTTCAACTTACATCGGATTATTCAAATTTACACATGAATAAAAGACAGAATAAACGTTTCCTGTCTTTCAGAGGATGCAGTTTACATTCCATTTGAGGACCAGAGGGAAGAATACATCCTGAGGGATTCTGGATTGCTGTTCATGGGAACCCCGGCGAACCTCGTGTCGAGACCGTGGTCCTTCGATCAGGTATAAAAAACACTTTTTCTGAACTTATTTACCAGATAAAAGTCACATTTTCTTCATTTAAATAATTCTGCGTGTGTTTGTTTTCCCTTTCCTTGTAAAGTATGAGCCTGTTGTTTTGGAGGCATGTCTGGATCTGCTTCAAGTCAGCCCACAGCACCAGAAGAGCAACAGAATGGATTACCTGAACCGGAGCAATCCCGTTTACATCAGCCGGGTCGTCTCAGCCATGGTGAGTCTAGAAACACTCCCATAAACCTCTTTTGTGGGAATGAATCCCTCTCCACACACCGTCTTCCCTCCCTCAGTGTCGTTAGGATCAGAACGTTTTATCCAAACAAGGTGCGGCTTGAATTTAGATTCTGGATTCTGTCAATCATAAAGATAATCACATGCACACACACCCCTTGGCAGGTTCTCAACACAAGTAAAACATCACACTGCAGAACACTGCAATTATAGCTGTCAATCAGGGTATATTTAACCTGCCAGGGTGAATCAAACGAAACTAAATGTTCCACTCTAACTTGATTTGTCATCGGAAAGTGTCGGTTTGGTTGACAAGTTTTTTTTTCTTCTCTAGATCAACAGCGAAGATGATCATGGAGTATTGAAAGGGAACTGGTCCAACGACTTCAAAGAAGGGGTCGATCCCTCCAAGTGGACAGGAAGTGGGGACATCCTGAGAAAGTGGGTGCAGTCTGGGAACAGCCCAGTCAAGTATGGACAGTGCTGGGTGTTTGCAGCGGTCATGTGCACAGGTAATTAGTGATAATGAAACTTTTTCTTTATATTTTTACTTCTCACAAGTAACACTTCAGCAATCATCATCCAGTCCTGGCTTCCAGGACACCACGTTCAGATATGTGCACATCACGTAACTGATGACACCTCTGTTTTTATTACTGTACGTCTTTCAGTCATGAGAATCCTTGGCATTCCTTGTCGCGTCGTCACAAACTTTAACTCCGCTCACGACACCAACGCCAACCTGGTTATTGAAGAGTACTACACAGAAACAGGGCAGAAGCTGAACTACAGCAAAGACAGCATTTGGTCAGTACTGAACTAAATCTTGACAATAATAATGTTAATTAGTATTTTTTAAACTAAAACGATCACTTTGGACCTTCTCAACAGGAACTTTCATGTCTGGGTTGAGTGCTGGATGACTCGCAAGGATCTGGGATCAGATATGGATGGCTGGCAGGTTCTTGACCCGACCCCCCAACAGAGGAGTAATGGTGTGTTTGAGAAACATTTCAGATACTTTGTGTTTGATGAATTTAAATTTGAACTTTTTCAAATTACCCCTTTCCTTCTACTCCTTCCAGGAGTGTTCTGCTGTGGCCCGGCTCCAGTCAAAGCAGTCAAGAGTCAGTGCATCGACCGCAAGTACGACATTCCTTTTGTCTACGCCGAGGTGAACGCTGATGTTCACACCATCATCATGGACCAGGGTCAGGTGGTCGGCTTCAGCAAAGACACAGAGAGAGTCGGGTCCCTGATCTGCACCAAAGCTATTGGCTTCCCAAGACTGCACAACATCACAGGAGACTACAAATACATCAAAAGTACGTAACATAAGCTGCATCTACACATTTCCATCTTGACCGTTTTAACAAAGTATCCTAACATGCATTTTATTTAAATTGCAGGTGATTCATCTACAATTTCATCAAGGAGCTCCACCATCTCAAACAGCTCCACACTAAGCAGAGGTAAATGGTGATTTTAATTTAGGTGTTCAAGCTCAGAATCCCTTGATGAAACATGTCTCATTAAAACTACTTCTCTTTATGTTTAGCCTCATCCGCAGGGGTGGAAGTCTTCCTGTTCCTGGATAAATCTCCAGTCGTTGGAGAGCCGATTCGCTTCATGGTGAAAATTAAAAACCGGCAGAAGGTGACCAAGAGGTTGAAAGTGCACCTGAATGCTCAGGCCAAAGAGTACAACCGCAGCCCCTCTGACACCTTCTGGGAAAACCACGGCATTATGCAGCTAGCACCCATGGAAGGTATGGGTTCCTCAGCATCCCCGTGATTCTTCCAACATGTTACATTTATATTTGAAGTAACACTCGATAGGTTTCATGTTTCTCCCTCCTACTGGTGAAAGTGGATTTACAACTGTCGTAAACGACTCCGAAGCAGCCTGCTGTAGCTAGCGCTAACAAGGAGCTAACGCGAACATGAGCCAACTGATCCCAAGTCATGAATTCAAAAGATCCACTCTGTTGGACGGATAAAATATTATTACTAATAAACAGTAGCAACAAAGCCAGGTCACCATCACTCTGTAATCTCATAGCCTTCAGCTCCCTCAGACAAGTGTAGGCCGTGCCGATGTTAACTCTGGTTTTATCTCTTCGCTTTACCTCCAAAGACATTATTCTCTTACTTTTACTTCCAGGTTCCTCCAGGATGCTAACAAAGAATGCATACTTCTTCTTGTGCTTTTTATTGATGTTTGGTGAACTGAAACAGCTAATTCCTATCCTTTACCGACACAGTAAACTGCTAATGTTATAAGCAGGTGGAAAGCTCCCACTAGTGAACCTACCTGAACCACAAAACTCTTAAGTGCAGTTTTTGGTCAGCAGAGCGCTGCAGTCATGCCCAATGGAAAGTTGCTCAAATTTCTGGCTTAAGAACCACTTAAACTAATTTAAAAGCTATAGTTTAAACTAAAAATGCTTAATTTTTTTAATCTAATGCATATATTCAATTTCTTCCTTTTAGTCAAAGTGCTGCAGCAGCAGATCCTTCCATCCCAGTATGAGAAGGTGGTGGGAGACAATCTAATCAACCTGGCGGTTGTCCTGGAGGACATGGCAACTCATGAGCACTTCCTCAGCTCAGAGGAGTTCAACATCACTGGACCAAGGATCATCATCCAGGTAATCACGTCACTTCCTTTAAACTGGATCAAGTTGCAGGAAATTGTGGGAATATTCTGGGTTTGCTTATGTTTTTATTTGACTTCAGGTTGTAGGCGAAGACTCGGTTGTGGTGAACAAAGCTCAAACTGCTGTTGTGACTTTCATCAACCCGTTCTCTCACCCAGTCAGTGGATTGCTGACGGTAGCTGGGGCTGGATTAATACATGGAGAGACTCAGTTCAGGTAGGAGTTTGAATTTTATCAACACAGCTAACATATCTAATAGGAGTGTCCCTGAACGCCTCATTACAAAACAGCATGTCTGTAATGGAGGAATGGTGCTGCATGAAACCGGTCATGGTACTTTTTTACTGAGAGTGATTTAAATGCGAAGGTTTAAAGCTTTCTGAAGCATTTGACTGATGTTCTGAATGTTTTTTTTTTCTACAGGATGGGCTCGCTACATCCAGGTGGAAAAGTCTCACAGCGCATCACATTCACCCCCAGCAGGGTCGGAGCGAGGATGCTGCACGCCAGTCTGTCGCTCTCCAACGTCAGCTTCACAATCCGAGGCTTTAGGATGATCTACGCCAACAGTGTTTAGCTCCAACCTATCAATATATTTATTTATTTGCATATTTATTTTTTCCATTTATTTGTCTGCTAATTGTAAATAACATTCATAACGAAATATCTGCACTAATATTTAAAAATTTAAAAGTCTTAAGATTTTCTGAGATTTGTCTTTTTTTAAATGTATTTATTTAAAAATAAAACAAAAGATGTGACACATCTGTGTTAATTTATTTATTTTTCTTACACTCAAACTATTGCAGCGGGATGTCCACAGTTGTGTTTATCTGTTAGTTATCAATAAACAGAGCTAAATAGCAGCTAAATGGAATCAATCAGCATTGTTAACACCAAGGAGCTGTAGGCTGCACAAGTAAACAAAAGGACCGTAAAGTTACAGGGTCGGGTCGCGGGGGCAGCAGCCTAAGGCCTAAGACGAGGCCCAGACTTCCCTCCCCCCAGCCACTTGGGTCAGCTCCTCCGGGGGAATCCCAAGGCGTTCCCTGTCCAGGTGAGAGACATAGTCCCTCCAGTGTGTCCTGGGTCTTCCTTTAGGTCTCCTCCCAGTTGGACGTGTCCAGAAAACCTCACCAGGGAGACGTCCAGGAGGCATCCTGACCAGATGCCCGACCCACCTCAACTGGCTCCTCTTGATGTGGAGGAGCAGCGGGTCTACTCAGAGCCCCTCCCGAATGACCGAGCTTCTCACCCAATCTCTAAGGGACAGTCCAGCCACTCTTCGGAGAAAACTCATTTCGGCCGCTTGTATCCGTGATCTCGTTCTTTCGGTCACTATCCAAAGCTCATGACCATAGGTGAGGGTAGGAACGTAGATTGACCGGTAAATCGAGAGCTTCACCTTCTGACTCAGCTCTCTCTTCACCACGACAGACCGGTACAACGCCCGCATCACTGCAGATGCAGCACCAATCCGCCTATCGATCTCACGCTCCAGTTTTCCCTCACTCGTGAACAAGACCCCGAGAAACTTAAACTCCTCCACTTGGGGCAGGACCTCATCCCTGACCCGGGGAAGGCATTAAACCCTTTTCCAAATCAAAGCATGTTTTATTTAAAGTTTTTTTTACTGTAAAACTTGCAGACCCATCCTAAAAATGCAATGTGGACTTATTGTTTCAGTTAAAATGTTGCCCTGAAGAGGGAGTACTTTTCTAAAAAATTAACACGCCATCTCGGTTAAAACCTCTTCATATTAACAAATTGAACTCCAGGATCTTTTCTTCCCTCAATCCCTGTCATTTATGATGAAACCAGACTCAAAACGTCCCCAAAATGCATTTAATTTATTTTTATTCATTAACCATCTGTCAAAACTCGAGGACAACAAAAGCATTATATACAAATCATAGCTAAGCTGACAGGCGGTGCAGTCGGCACATGCACAAACACACCAGTTCACCTATATTACAAACAAGTTAATGGAAAATTAAACAGGGACAGAAAAATAATCAATGTACAACCCAGAAATAAAAAGTGAAGATTCAAGCATGGATCTAAAATCTGCAAGGCTACGTTATATGAAACATTTTCTTTGGTCTTTACAGATGATTTGTTGTTATTTTCATGCTAAACAGTCCCTCCAGCTCATCGCCGTGAGAAACTGAACCTTTAATAAATTGCTTTCACCATCATGACAGAGTATAGACCATTTTAATAGCCTCTAACTGTAAGATGTTATGGGACATTGTTCTAGGGGACTAAAAGGTCTCGTATTTACACATCTTCTTTCTAATTTTAATGTAAAACAACAAAACAAACCGTACTAGCCCTTTGAAGAGTTTAAACATCTAAAAAACAAACTGAGCAGAGCTGGACAAGCTGTAGAAAATAAACCAGCGATGCTCGCTGAGCTCATTAAACAGGAAATCAGGATTTTCTGGTTTTGCATTCAGTGCAACAGTTAGAAAAAAAAGCTGAGCTGAGTAGAAATTGGTTGTTTCTTTATACGTAGACTTAATACTTGCAGTACTAACCGTAGTTCCCTGGGTTTAGTTATGAGTTGGTCCCTTATTTTACTTTGGATGTGAGCACGTCTGGCTTCATGCTTGTATGTCCTCTTGGGAGCGTCTCACAGTTCCATTATCCTGGTGTCCAACTGTCTGCTTGGATGCTCACTAAAAGCATCTAAGTTGAGTTTTTAGTGCAGATCTAAACAGCTATCGCCCTCTAGAGGTAGTCCAGCTCCAGTGCATGGGTCAAAGCCTCCAGATCAGCCCGACAGGACACCCTCCAGAATGGCATGTTCTTCTAGTTAAACACAGCGTAAAAGAAAGTATCATTAATGCAAACCTGAGGCAAGTGTGTTTGTGCACTTTCTGTGGCAGAGTGGAAGTGGAATATGCAGCGGTTTTGCAGAGAACATCTGGAAAACGTTAGCTTGAACCGTAAATTTTAAAGAAGAAGACGAAGAAGACGAAGACGAAGACGTACATTTTAAAATAATAAAAATACATGGATAGCTGCCAAATCAGGACAACATTATATCATTCAATAAAGACACAGAAACAGAAGCTGCAGAAATGGGGGTTAATTATTGTTATTTGTGGCCCTTTTTCAGCAGTTAATCACGTAAAATAAAGTTATACCAACCTTCTTGGCTACGGTCTCCTCTTCGGCTCCGTCTCCGATCACCACGTAGACTGCTCTACGGCCAAACCTCTGAGAAACACGTTCAAAACAGCTCTCCTTTCCTTTGAAGGCAAAAGGAAATGTGGATATTTAGCTAATACGCAAAAATATGGGAATCAGAACAACGGATTTGTAAACTGAAACAATGAAAATGAGAATAGGGAAGCTCGGTGGATCGAACTAAAACTTTTTCCTCACCGATTTTGGTGGCGCTGTAAATGTTCTCTATTGGGAAAGCTGAGCCGAGTCCATACAGTAAGACCTTTGAGAGGGCCGGGATGAGCTGGGTGGTGGTCACCAACACGTTCACGCAGTTTGGCCTGGGTCAGCAAAAATGACACGTTAGAAGAAACAGATTTAATTGAAGAGGCGTAATTTGAGAAAAACATAAATAGCAAGCAGCTGAGATGTAAAGTTATTGAGTTTGTTGTAAAGTGAAGTGACCTGGAGTTAATGAGAGCCAGAGCTTTGAGGGCTTGAGTCAGCCACAGGTCAGTCAGGATCTCCATCTCTCTCCTCAGCTGTAACCATTCTTCTCTCTTGGGACTCACTAGCAAGCCTGAAATTAGAAGTGGTTTAAAGTTTTCAAGTTTTTATACAAGTATAACTCTTAAGAATAAAAGTTAATTATAAAGGAAAAACGTGTAAAAGATAAACAAAGTTGATAAACCTTTATTGTTAACTGATTTTTTTTGTTCAGCAGAAACTGCAAATAAAGTAGTCAGTTACAGCAGATTTCTGTCCCAGCCCTTCAAACAGAAAATGAACTTTTAGACCAGTTTTAAGTAATATATATATATTTTTTATTTTAGGCTAGAGCTTTAACACAGATCAAAGTGATTGTTGAGTTAGAAACTTGGCCAGTTTCATATGTGACACCACTCTACACCACTCTGCTGACCTAAAACCACACTAGGTAGTTTTAATGAATGGGTAGGTGTCCTACGGGCTGCACTAGTTAGAGGGAGCTAAAGGACGCTACGAAATCACAGACCGATGGTGACCTGGATTTGTTGTTACTGAACTTTTAAGTAATAGTTTTTTGTCCAACAGTGTGGTACTTTTTACTTTGTGGTTTATTTTAGTATTAGTTGGCTCATGTTAGTTATATCGTTGTTAGCACTAGCTACAGCAGGCTGCAGCAGGGTTGTTTACGACAGTTGTAATTCCACTTTCATCCAGCAGGGCAGAGGAGCAGAAAACTGCTCAGTGTTACTTTAAAAGGAACTCCAGCTATGAGGACGTGTATGCCCTAATAAGCCATAAGTTTTCTTTTGTACCAAACTATGTTGTTAGAAACACAAAATATTGCTGTTTATTCATAAATCTATAATATTTAGTACATTGTTTGACATACGTAGGATGCCATGTTTTCTGCACGCAATGCACTCTGGGGGGATGACGTGTATTGGTTGCTCTTGGAAGAATAGCTATTGACGCTAGTGTTTGTTTACGCGCTCACCGTATTAATAATTAAGTCAAATGCCATATTGTGCTGCTTTTGGATGCAATTTACAGTCAAAGGGCAACAAAGGGAGTGATGTGAGTTTGCACAGCTTTCCCACTGGCAAGTAGAGGAGAAAGTAGTGGGAAGATGCCTGTGGATGGACACAACTTCCCAAAGATCTGCAGCTGTGTTCCCAACATTTCTCTCCTGATGCGTTTGAGGCTTATAGTTGACCACATCTACTTAAAGAGCTCAGTGAAGCGGCTGGGTACAAGAGAAGGTGGAAACTAAATGCTTTACCGACCATTTTCCCACACAAGGAGCCTAAACGCCCTCGGAGAGACAAGAGACGCTGGACGCTCTCCTGGACCGACAACCCTCTCCTGCAGCTGCCGCTTCTGTCACATTCAGTGAACCATCGGACACGCCACTCGTCACGGATGAAGCTGAACATTCACCTCTCCCGTCAGTAAAACAAGCAGTAAGTGTAGCAATACAGTGTTCTCCAAATATATATCAGCAAAAATGATTCAAGTCATTTCTCTGAATATCCTAATCATCTGTGAAGCACAAGGCAGCTCTGGATGCTAAAATTCTCCAAAATCATTCATAATTGAATACGTTTGATCCCACGATAGCTTTAGTTTTGTAACCTGGGTTCCTTTTAAGGTGTTTAAGGTGAGATTCTAAACTGTTCTGAGTACTTTCAAAACACCAAATTCAGATTTCACATCTCAAGAACAGTTTTTATTCTTCTTTCATCTCTTTTTGTTAAAGCCACTTGTGTAAATTAGAATGTTTCGAACTGAAAAACCCAACATAATAAGATGTCTAGATAGATCCAGATTGTAGGACATTTTTGTTAGTTTGTAATTTTACTTTGTTTAGTGTCTCTAAAGAGAAAATACAATTTGAAATTATGCAAAGGTGCTTTCACATTGGTAACATGATATCAGCTGCAAACCACAGTTAAGATGATTATTATGGGGCACGGCTTCTGGAAAAAGTACAGCACCTAAAAAAAGCAGTTGACTATTAATTTTCTGGAGGTTGACACAATGTTGATTTTAAACATACAGTGATGATAGCAATTTGTCATGCGTTAACTTTTCAAATCTTAATTGGAGACAGCTGCTTTTGACACTGTCTGCGGTTCCTGACTCAACATTGGTGTTAGTTCTACTCTTGGCTTGCTTGTGCAGCTACACTCACTGATTATAGAGCAATTTGTTGTTCCTGATTTGTATTATCGCTGCCAAGAAACTACATTTTTCCATTTATTACATTTTTCACAAAAAAGTTATCGCAAAGTCCAGAAAATCTGAGTTGAAATTATTCTCCCTGGAACTTACCACCAACATTATTTTTGTATGTATTGTAGATCTCCTTGACTCTGCGGTATCGGAAAGCCAGTTTCCTCATCCAGTCTACCCCTCCATGGACTCCGGATCCCAGGCACAAAGAACCTGCTCCTGCTGGGCTCTGGAAGCCGTCTGACCCAAAGTTGTAGGTGCTGCAGGATTGAAATATGCAAGAAACACACGGGCTTTAGTTTCTAAAAGATGAAGCTGTTATTTACATTTTCTGCCTTAAATTAGGTATACTATGACTTTTTTCTAAGTTATAATGTTTAATACCAAATATGTGTCTGGTGTTTTTTGCACTAAATTCCTCTCATATCTTAGCAGATTTATTTCAGTTTCAGTACCTTCCAGAATTAGCCGTTTCTGCACTGACTACAACCACCCACCCTCATCTCAAGCTGCTATTAGCTGAGAAGCTCTGATATCTGGGAGGGGCTTAGAGAATAGCCAATGCTCCTCCAGTAGCAGCCCTGTTACATGTGAGAGGTGGTGTTCTGCTTCTTTCTCCGTTTCTGATGTCACAAACAGGGACTTTTGATAACTGCATGTTTAGGCACATACTTTCTAAAATTAAACTGACATAAAATGGTAGTAGAGACCCACATGGCAGAGCAAAAGTATGCAAAAGGTGAGTTTTGCACAGTATGTCCCCTTTAATATATATATATATATATATATATATATATATATATATATATATATATATATATATATATATATATATATATATACATATACATATATATATGTATATATATATATATATATATATATATATATATATATATATATATATATATATATATATGAGGTGACGGTGGAACAGGAGTTAAGTGCTCGGCCCGTAATCAGAAGGTTGAGGTTCGAGCCCCGCTCAGTTTGTTTCTGTCAATGTGTCCTTGGGCAACACACTTAACCCCCTTTGCCTGCTGGCCTTGGTTGGAGGGACTAATGATACCAGTGCTTGGCAGCCTTGCGTCTGTCGGTGCACCCCAGGGCAGCTGTGGCTACATCGTAGCTCATCCCCACCAGCGTGTGAATGTGTGAATGACTGATTGTGATTGTGAAGAAACTTAGGGGTTGGGGTTCCAGGACTCTAGAAGCCGCCATTTATCATATATGGATAATGAGGGATTGGTAAAACACAAGTGGTGAAGTTTCACTCCTTCTCAGATCCCTGAATCTCTCAAACAAGTTTGTGAGAAAAAAAACCTAAACTGAAGGGAATGGAAAGATTGGAGGGAATGAGAAAAGATATTTTTGATGGGAAATAAAGACGCTGGATAATCCTCTGACATACTAGACGCTGGTGGAAGTAGAGAAAATATAAGTCGTGCACAAGCTTGCATGCTCGATCACATTCGGATGCACGCAAATGCGCTCGCTCTCTCATTTAATCTCTTAGCAGATTTCCTCCCTGTGCACTAAAACTCAGAGGGCAAGTCTGGTTCACGGGCCACAAAAGGAACTGTCAGAGTCATTCAGAGGAAGACTTATATAGTAACAGTAGAGGCTTTACCTCAGGTCCTGTCCATTGTCGTCTGATGCCACGTCATCAATGTGGACCTGGTCACATTCCTGACAAATGAGAAAGAAAGCAGATACATCAAGAGATCTGTCCATGAAGCCCTTTGGGGGGGGGGGGGGGAATACCAGGGGAAGATACCACAACCGAGGGTTAAAAAAAGGTAAAAATGAAAGAGTAGGAGGGACACAAAACATCAAGGCACCAACAATAACCGAAGGTCTAGTGTAAACATTAAAGAACTAAATATACTCTTTATACTCTTCCAATATTTACTCAGAAAAATCTTTTTTGAAAACAATAACCTGTTGTCTTTAAAAGTCACAGATGGGGCAGACGGGGGTTATTTTTCTCTTCAACAACCAGAAAAGCAAGAACTAAAAACCGCACTGCTGATGCAGCATGTAGTTGTAGCTGAAACACCTCCAGCAACATCAAGATAAGTTAGAAAATAACCAAACTTTAGAACTGATGAATAAAAAATTAAATTGTCAAAAATAATAAACTGAGAAGAAGAACAGCACAGAAAATTAAAGAATAACCAAGCCTCTAAACCATGTGTGTCAGACACAAGGCCGCGGAGCATCTTTATGTGGCCCGCGAGATACATATAAAAAATATATTAAAACTGACCCGCTGGCCGATTTTACTGCAAAGACTACAACTCCCATGATGCTTTGCGGCATTAGCACGGAGCCAAAGCACCCATCCTTTGTGTTTTTTCCAGCATCTGCTGCCGGTGTCTGCAGCTCTGCTGTCTCGGACAAACTAAACACTCCTCTCACTCAGCGCCGAGTTTACTCGGCTATTTGCCGACGTTGAAGCCCAGAAATGGAGATTCTAGCCGCTCAGTAATGTGTTCACGACTGAAAGAGAAAGTTTTCCAACTAACTTCCAGACAGAGCTGATATAACTCTAGCGAGCAGCGACACGCTCAAATCAGCATGACTCTGTGGTTGCTGTTATTTTTCCTCCCCGACACACAACAACGTGGTCAAGCTGCTCAGACGCTCTCCATGTTCAGCGGCACAAACCTATGTGAGCATCTGTTGTCATCTAATGTTGTCATTATTATGAAGATGAACAAAACAACAGGAGTCTCCTCCTCAGCTCATCAACCCCATGATGCAGGTATCTGGCTGGAACAGGTGAGCATCACAGTAAACCAGTGGAGCAAACTGAGCTTTAAATATTTAGGTTTTATGCTCTTTTTCTGCTCCAAAACATGAAAGTTAATAGGAGAGATATTGCATTTTCATTTAAGATAAAATTATATTTTTATTTTGTTGTTGGCTGGTGAGAAAATATTTAACCTACAGTAAACAGGAACTGGAAAGGCTGCAGATAGATGAATAGGGAAAGCTAGATGTCACAGCAGCAATGCCACTTATTACAGGAGAAAAGAGAATAAAAAAGAAAAATGAATAAAGAAAACATAAATCCTGACTAGATTGAAAATGCTGATTATACCACAAGTAATGAATACCACTGATGCATTTTATTTATAATTGACTTGCTCGTGTGTAACTGGTTATTCCACATTCAGTGTTAATGCAAAAATAAGTTTGTTTCCAAATTAAAATGTTCAAAATTGCATATATGTTGATAAAGAAAATGTGCAAATTTGCCGTCACTTTTTCAAAAAATATTAAGTTTGGCCCGCAACTTCGTCCCAGATTTTCATTACGGCCCAGTGTGAATTTGAGTTCGACACCCCTGCCCTATACCTTTATCTTTAATGTGAAAAAAAGCTCAAACATTAACATTCAAATAAAGCAACACACACACACACACACACACACACACACACACACACACACACACACACACACACACACACACACACACACTTTTTTAAGTGACGCACGAAGAACTGGGACAGATGGGCTCACCGATCACATTTCAGTCACCCAGACAGAGACGCTACCTCATCTCCTAACATTACTGCAGAACCAGGTTCCCACCGGCTCATCACCACATCCAACTCAGGTGGGATTGGCTCCATCAGAGTTACAACCGTTGACCAATAAATGCACATGATCGCTTTTGTTACCAGACAGACAATCAAACTGAGAAATGCAGTAAATAAAAATCAATGCAACTCCACTGAATTATTTTGGAAAAAGTCCTCATATCCGTCCAAATTCAACAAAAAGCTTTATTAGTAATGCAAAACATTGTCACATTTTGTTATCACAGGTGTGGCATCTGTGTTATTTTATTTTTTTTTTTACAGACTTACAGGGAAGATAACTGAGGCTGAAGATCTGACAGCAGGAGTTGTCAGTGAGTGGCAATAACAAAAGATGACATTAACATAGTTTGCAAATACAGTGGTGTGAAAAACTATTTGCCCCCTTCCTGATTTCTTATTCTTTTGCATGTTTGTCACACAAAATGTTTCTGATCATCAAACACATTTAACCATTAGTCAAAGATAACACAAGTAAACACAAAATGCAGTTTCGAAATGATGCTTTTTATTATTTAGGGAGAGAACAAAATCCAAACCTACATTGCCCTGTGTGAAAAAGTAATTGCCCCCTGAACCTAATAACTGGTTGGGCCTCCCTTAGCAGCAATAACTGCAATCAAGCATTTGTGATAACTTGCTATGAGTGTTTTGCAGCGCTCTGGAGGAATTTTGGCCCACTCATCTTTGCAGAATTGTTGTAATTCAGCTTTATTTGAGGGTTTTCTAGCATGAACCGACTTTTTAAGGTCATGCCATAGCATCTCAATAGGATTCAGGTCAGGACTTTGACTAGGCCACTCCAAAGTCTTCATTTTGTTCTTCAGCCATTCAGAGGTGGATTTGCTGGTGTGTTTTGGGTCATTGTCCTGCTGCAGCACCCAAGATCGCTTCAGCTTTAGTTGACGAACAGATGGCCGGACATTCTCCTTCAGCATGTTTTGGTAGACAGTAGAATTCATGGTTCCATTTATCACAGCAAGCCTTCCAGTTCCTGAAGCAGCAAAACAACCCCAGACCATCACACTACCACCACCATATTTTACTGTTGGTATGATGTTCTTTGTCTGAAATGCTGTGTTGCTTCTATGCCAGATGTAACGAGACATTTGCCTTCCAAAAAGTTCAACTTTTGTCTCATCAGTCCACAAGGTGTTTTCCCCAAAGCCTTGGCAATCATTGAGATGTTTCTTAGCAAAACTGAGACGAGCCCTAATGTTCTTTTTGCTTAACAGTGGTTTGCGTCTTGGAAATCTGCCATGCAGGCCATTTTTGCCCAGTCTCTTTTTTATGGTGGAGTTGTGAACACTGACCTTAATTGAGGCAAGTGAGGCCTGCAGTTCTTTAGAAGTTGTCCTGGGGTCTTTTGTGACCTCTCGGATGAGTTGTCTCTGCACTCTTGGGGTAATTTTGGTCGGCCGCCCACTCCTGGGAAGGTTCACCACTGTTCCATGTTGTCTAATGAGCTTTGAAAGCAAAGCGTCTGGACTTCTTTGAGTTGCTTGAAGACGTTTCACCTCTCATCCGAGAGGCTTCTTCAGTTCTAAGGTCAAATGGTGGAGAGTCCCAGATTTAAACCCAGTGGGAGTTTCCCCCAGAAGAGGGAACAAAAGACCCCCTGATGATCTTCTACATAAACACATGAGCCAAGGTGTGAGGGTGGGTGTTGGTCCTATTCAGCCAGAGTTTCGGGTGAGCTCATTGTGAAGCCTGGCCCCACCCTATCATGTGAATTCCTGAGGTCATGTGGCCCAGGATATGCGTGGGCGTTGAGGCATCTGGGAAGAGATCTCAAAACTGGATTATAGATGGCAGACAGTTGGTGTCGTAAACCACCGCCTTTGTTCAAAGATGGTTGCTCACAGTGGACATAAATGGCTTCCTTTACTCCTCTTTCAAACCATCTGTCCTCTCTGTCCAAAATGTGAACGTTGGCATCCTCGAAAGAGTGACCTTTGTCCTTTAGATGCAAATGAACTGCTGAGTCCTGTCCCATGGAGGTGGCTCTTCAATGTTGTGCCATGCGCTTGTGAAGTGGCTGTTTGGTTTCTCCGATGTAGAGGTCTGGGCATTCCTTGCTGCACTGTACAGCATACACCACATTGTTCAGTTTGTGTTTAGGAGTTTTGTCTTTCGGGTAAACCAGTTTCTGTCTGAGTGTGCTGCTGGGCCTGAAGTACACTGGTATGTTGTGTTTGGAGAAAACCCTCCTGAGTTTCTCTGATACACCGGCTACATGGGGGATGACAAGGTTGTTGCGTCTGTCTTTCTTATCCTCCCTCGCTGGTGTCTGGTCTTCTTTTCTGTGCATCTTTGCTGACTTAATAAACGCCCAATTAGGATAGCCACATGTTTTAAGTGATTCCTTTATATGTGTGTTCCTTCTTTTTCCCTTCCGGCTTAGAGGGAACATGTTCTGCCCGGTGGTGTAAGGTCTTGATTACTCCAAGTTTTTGTTCCAGAGGGTGATGTGAGTCGAAGAGGAGGTACTGGTCCGTGTGTGTGGGCTTCCGGTACACTTCAATGTTGAGGTTGCCATTTTCTTCAAAGTGCACAGTGCAGTTTCTGTTCCATGTTGTTGCCACTTGTGGATAATGGCTCTCACTGTGGTTCGCTGGAGTCCCTTTAGAAATGGCTTTATAACCTTTACCAGACTGCTATATCTCAGTTACTTTTGTTCTCATTTGTTCTTGAATTTCTTTGGATCTTGGCATGATGTCTAGCTTTTGAGGTGCTTTTGGTCTACTTCTCTGTGTCAGGCAGCTCATATTTAAGTGATTTCTTGATTGAAATAGGTGTGGCAGTAATCGGGCTTGGGGGTGGCTACAGAAATTGAACTCAGGTGTGAAACACCACAGTTGTGTTATTTTTTAACAAGGGGGGGGCAATTACTTTTTCACACAGGGCAATGTAAGTTTGGATTTTGTTCTCTCCCTAAATAATAAAAAGCATCATTTCAAAACTGCATTTTGTGTTTACTTGTGTTATCTTTGACTAATGGTTAAATGTGTTTGATGATCAGAAACATTTTGTGTGACAAACATGCAAAAGAATAAGAAATCAGGAAGGGGGCAAATAGTTTTTCACACCACTGTAGCTTTGTTGGCTCCTTTCCCTCTTCTTGGCTGCTCCTCCTCCTGTTGGGACTAATTTTTCCTATTGGATGCTCGGACACACACCTATAATTACAGCACAAAGGGTCCTTGTTCTCCTTCGTAGTGTTCCACTTTAATCTTTCTTCTTTTGTCAGAACAAGACGGAGGAATGCGGGATGAAAAACACACTGAGTTCAGTCACCATCAGGTACTAAAACTGCTTTTTTTCCTTTGAGTCATCACTTTTAGAGGTTGCATCAACGCCGGTATTAGATTAGGTGCACTTATAGTAAGCACATTAGATCTAACTGTGGAGCACTTATTCTTGCAAAAAATCCTTTTAATATTATTGCTGCTCTGTCACTCCAGGCAGTGGCGCCCCCAGAAATGTTCATAGGGGGCCCAGTATAGGTTTTTGGGTGGCTCATTAAATTAGACCCCCTGATAAATGGGAGATGTTGGCCTGTAGCTGCACATTTCATTGCTCCTTCATTCTTTTTCATTAAAAAGCTAAAGGCCAAACTGTCCTGTATGTACCCTGAAGGCAACCTGCCTGCATATGATGTAATCTGATAGAGAGATCCCTCAGCCACATGCTTTGGTCGAAGGACTGTCTTTGACACTATTTCGAGCTCTTAACCTCAGATTTAAACTAAATTCTGTTGTAGCTCTTTTTGAAGTCATTGAAAATCAACTAAATCTTAATGCTAGCAAAATATTTATTTTTTTATTATTTGCCCTGGTTCTGCTCCGCCGTGCTATTTCACTCTAATGGAAAGACACCTCTCCTCACTCACACAGTGGCTGCAGGATGTCATGTCTTGTCTAAAGCTAGAAAAGAAAAAATGTTCACAAACAACCAACTGGCACATTTGAAGATACATCAGGTCCATTCTTAGCAAGCATTTCCAGTAGTGATGCACCGATATGAAATTTTTGGGCCGATACCGATATCCGATATTAAGATCATTGTCATGGCCGATAACTGATATTTGCCGATTCCCATAAACTGGCAATAAGGCTTCTAAAATCGGCAGATTTTGTATAGAATGAAAATGATTAAAGATGAATTTACGTTATTATGTACACAAAACTCACACATTTATGGTTCTGAGATGATTTCATTCACTGTTCACATAACTAAACAATTACACCCCCCACCCCCACCCCCCACCCCGAAACAGGCAAACAAATGGAGACAAGACGGAAAAAATATTGGTTGTTGATATCGGCCCGGTTTAATTTGTCAAACCGATACCAATAAATTAAAAAATGACTAACATACCGATGCCAATATTTTGTCCATCCCTAATTTCCAGCTTTGTGAAAAAATGCTAGACCTGGGTCTTGGTTTTGCATGAAGGTGCCATCCTTGTAGTGAAGGGGTGGGTAGAATATCTTTTTGTTTGTTTATAAGTTACATTTTTTTTTTGTTGATTCTGTCCAAACGTTTTCTTAATGTACAAAACATTTTTGAGTTAAAACAAACAATAGGCCCGATCATCCAAAGGAACACAAGCATAAGAAATAACATTTCAAGTTTTTGTTATTGTTTCATTGTTTTTTAAAACTGTTTAAACATTTTTTATTTCAACAAAAATATCCCGAAAGACCATTGAGGATTTATACTTTTTTGATGGTGAGCCTCAGTGACATAAATATTTATTAAAATTGTTTTTTATGAAAGAAATCATTTATCAAAATTTTATTCGTCATTGGCTTTAACATGTATGTCTCCATTAAAGAAGATGAATATATGGTTTGTGTGAACATAAATGTGACCTATTAAGGGGGTGGTCTTCCCTGGAGGGAGGGGCCAGTGGGGTGGCCAATAACTTTCCAGGGGTGGCCATGCCCCCCCAGGCCACCCATTGGGCCCCTGACTCCATGAGGGGAAACTGTTTCAAAGCTGCTCTAGAAAGAAATCACAGTGGATAGATGAGGGGATTTCTACCAATACAAGTAAAAAACAAACAAACCAAAATGTCAAACATCTGGATAAGCTGTGTCAGAGGAGGCTTCCTGGTTACGCCAACTCAGAGCTGCAATTTTTTCCAGCTTACTGGAAAAAGCCTCACAGTTATTGAAAAGTAGATATTTACTATTCCCAGCTTAATGACTGCTATAAGAAATAAACAGATAACAAACCAGCCAGCATGTTTAAGAACTCACCTCCAGGTCGTTGAAGAAGAGTCTCGAGTCGGCCAGATTGAAGATCATTTCTTCCATCCACAAACCCAGAGACACTGCCTTTGAAGAGTCCTGGTGAACAGCAAAAATGGGGGACATTTAATACTGTTGATATTTCATCCGTCTATGAAGCAACGCTCAAATCAAAGTGGCACTCTGAAAACAACAATTAGTCTCCTGGTGGATTAGTGTGTCGTGTGTGTTTGTGAACCTCTGATTTTCACCTTTCGGTCAGTTTCTTTAGTATTTTACTGAACGATGTTTCTTACCACAGACATTTTTGACCCCAGACAAGTTCAGCTAAGACGCTGATTATTGAAACCACTGACAAAACAGGGCAGCGGGTTGAATCAAAAGTAAAAAATATGAGTTCAGACTTAATACGTTTGGTATTCACAATAATAATAATAATCAGTTAAACCGAAGTCTTGAACATCATTCCTCCTGTCTGCATGTCATTGCAGCTGTCTGCTTTTTTATTTATTTTTTGTAACAGCTTCCTGCTCATCAGCCTGACTGACATAACTAGGTTTCAGTAGGAGGTTAAGTGTGAATGTGTTGCTGTCAGTCAAACTCGCTGCCACATTTTTTATCTTTATTATCGATTTTCTGGCTGCGTTCAGTCTGGCGAGAGTTCCCGTCTCTCCTCGGCTGAAACCTTTCCAGGTTCCACTCAGTTAATTTGAATTGATTTGATTTACAACTGAGTGTCAGATTAAAGTCTGCAGAAACGTTTGGAACAGTATTAGCGGTTCGGTCGTTGGAGAGTTTAAACGACTGCAGTTCTGCTCAATTCCAACACGTCTTTTGGAATCGTGTTGTTATTTTTGTTTCACCCATTTAATGGACCAACTGACAAATAAACTAAAACAGCTAGAGGCGTCCATCTAGCTTTGAACTCAGTTACAAATGCATGCATTGACAACTTCAGACATTAAAAACCTGCTGTTGTTTTAACTGGCTGCACTCCAGCAGATCTGCAGCAAGAGGAAGTCGCCCTCAGTTGATACCTCAAGAGCAGGTACGGCGTTAGCCAGATTCAGCATCTTGAGTATTACCACCTTGATTACTTTATTTACTTTTCACCCTGCAAACAGGCTGGTTTTCTATTACAAACAGCTCCAGTTAATGCCAAAAATGACATTTTAAAATGAAACCTTTGAATCATAACGTAGGCTGCCAGGCTGCAAAACAGCACGGGCATGTTGTCGTTTGAGATGACAAAAGTAGGTGTGCGTGCAGGTATGTGTGGTGCATTGTTTTAAAGCAGCACTGGCAGCAAGACAGACAAAGGAGAGAAGTGTCAGCCAAGGGTGAACGTCTTATTAATGCATCTGAAATGACAAGCAGGGGCTTTTTCTTGGCTCACAGCGAGAAAAAAAGGGCTTGATGACTCAAGAAGGGCAATTAAAACACATCCCTTTTCTAAAATAGGAGGTAATTGGAGACAAAGGGCAAAGGTTCAATAGGATCAATGAAGGGTGATGGGAAATATGTATAAAGGATGTCGTCTTTCTCTTCAGGCGAGAGCTGATACCACACACAGAGGCAAACAAAGCCCTTTTTTATTTTAACATGAAATATCACACCTCACCTTTACTCTTCTGATTTACTTTATATGAAATGCAGCTGGAGGAAGAAAATTCACATAGTGGACCTGCTGCCGAGCTGCATGACAAATGAGAAAAGTGATGAGATGATATTGGAGGAGTGGGTCTAATCCTCGTGTTCACCGTGTTATACAGTTTTTACCTTGTAGATCCAAGAATTCGTTAATATTAAAAGTTGTTGGTGGAGTGAATGAACCCTAACCCCTAACCCTAACTAGGACCTAGCCCCAACTAGCCAATCACTTCCCCTACTTACGAAAGCGCGTGCATCCCACAACCACAAAGAAACCCTTGCCATTTCTTGTTCTGGAGCGACTCAAAGCTGGGATGATGGACCCTTGCCCTGACAGCATGACTCTGGTCCTAGACCCTGGCCCTAACCCTGAGGCCCACACGCCCAGCTCCATGCCTATATTCTGCCCTCCCCCCTTCCCAGGTTTTCAAGATTGGACCTGATCTTGCTTGAGTGCGCCTACCTTTGGTTTCCATGCAAACTCTGCTGAGTCATCGAAGGGCAGGAGGATTCCATTGAGTTACAATTTCACAGGCCTAACCCTAAAATGGGCCTGTATTTAAAAGGCTTATGTTTATGAAGTGCCTTATAGGGTTCTACAACCCCCCAAGGTGCTTTACAACAAACACACACACACATGGATGGTGATGAGCTTCATTGTAGCCAACAGAACAGAAGCAATGTTGCCAAACACTGGTGCCACAGGTCCCTCCAACTGCCACCAGCAAAATAAATCGGTTGCCATTATTAAATGCAGGGAAACAAAAACAAAAGTTGCTAGCTTGTGAGCCCTCTTATTGCACTGGACTGTAAATCTGTTATTCTGTTGTCATTCGTTTAATTCCTAAGCTGCATGTCTAAGTTTTGATGTCAGCGTCTGTCCAGCTGAGTGGTGGGAAGCATTTTTGGCACATGAGTCACTTTTCAACAAACCCACAAGGCCCAACTCTCATCTTCTGTATTTTTTTTTTCTCCGTGGCAGACAAAAAAGAGAAATGGAAGGGAAAAGAAAAGAAAAGAAACAACAGCAAGCAAAACTTTCCAGGGGCCGAGCCGACCAGCGAAGCTGCTCCCAAACTCCCATCGGCCTTGTGTCAACCCACGGAGGGATCGTGAGAATTCAAAACACGGCGCCTTGGCCAGAGCACAAGAAGTGCACCACTGTCTGCTGCTTGTCAGCTGCCTGTCTCGTATGTAATGTTCCTGCGGGCTGTCAGTCACGCTGCAGGTTGCCGGGGCAGCCAAACAACCAGGGTGCTTTATGAAAAGAAACACGAGCATAGGAGGCAAAACATGGCCAGCGTGTGAAAATGTTCGAGGATGTGACCCAAAGGTCATGGACTTTAACTTTTATTCAAGCAGATAGATGACTGCAAAGACAAAAGACTTATTTAACTGTAGGACCTGTGTTTACTGCAAGGTTTTGCATGCGCAAGCTGCTTTGATGAAAACACCATTTATGCTAAACAACAAGGTCAAACATCATTTAATCATACCTTTCCAAATCGTGAGGAGAAAGTCCCCGTGAGGAGCGAATGGAAAATAATGATGGTTTCATCCAGATCCCAGATAAACACGCGCTGTGGAGACATAACAGACGTGTGATGTTAACCATATGACAGTTTATGTGTATGAGGAGGGAAGAAGAAGATAAATACCGTAGAGAAATGCTGATAATTTTTCAGCGTTGTGTGAGAGAGCGTGTTTACCTCAATATCAGAGTCCAGCGGAGGAGCTGGGTCAAGAATCTTTTTCCTTCCTCTCAACTTGCCATCGGATCCCCTTCGTGCTGGGATCACCTCCTCTTTACCTGGTGTTGGTGGGCTCGGAGGCGGGTGGTAATCCCCTAACAACAAACACGTAGATCTCTGTGAGACAGTTTTACTCGAAACTCTCATACATGTTTTTTTGCCACAGGAAAAAATAAATAAACTGATTTAAATCAATAAACCTTATGATGAAGAACAAAAACCAATCAGCTTTAGACTAGAAAAATGGCTAAAGGAATACCCGTTTGTGCCTCTGGGCTGTGACTGGGCATCATGATGGGGTGCTCGGGGTGCTGATACGTTAACGGAGCTGTGATTGTTGCAGGACTGATGTTGCTGCTGGTTAGGTAGGGGCTGTTGTAGTGATGTGAGTTATAATATGGGGAGTACTGACTCTGGCTGTAGCTGGAATATGCAGAAAACTCCTGAAAAGACCGACAACAATGTCAGGAATCATATCTTTGGTTTTAAAGTGGAACATATGTCTAAAATTCCCCTAACAGATCATGAAGGTTGTTGTTATAAATTTGAGGTTATGCTACTCACTTGTTGGGTGGAGTTGAACGGGGTTGAACTCGAGATTGCGTGTGTCCCTTGAAAAATTCCAGGAGAAATCCCACCGCCTAGGAAAGAACACAAAAAGGAAATGGGTCAAAAAGGTTTTCAAACTTGCAAGTTGAAAGGGATAAAAGTCACAAACCGGCTGCGTTTTTGACTATCTCATCTGCATCTGATCCGCCCTGTGAAGCCACGTGGAGGAGGAAGCAGTGAAACTCTGCTTATTTCCTCGGTTGACAGCTCAGAGCTGCAGGAGCTTAGAGTGGGATTTATGACCGACATGACAATACAGGTGGGAAAGTCTGCTGCTCCTGCAGCTCCTGCTGTGGGAATCTTCTAACACGATCAAGCTAAGGCAGGAATGTCTTCCTCCAAGCCATCCCCTCACCTGAAACCTACTGTCAGCTCTATTTGTTTATCTGATTAAGGAAATTTCCCTGTAAGCCTGTCATCTCCATCCACCACAGCATTGTCACTTTATTTGTGTTGTTTCTGTTTAGCCATTACTTTTGTCTTGCAGAAAAAAGGTTAAAAGGTCAAATCTCAATTTTGGGAGTGTGCATGTTCCTCCAAAGTTTCCTTTTGCGGTCCAAAAGCATGCACATTGGGTTATTTGATGGTTTTAAGAGTGGTGGCATGAAGAGTTGAATCAGGGTTTACTTTGCGATGGACCCAGGCTTTTACATGCCTGCTGGGATAGAAGCTGGCCTCTCGGTGACCCTGAAGCAGGTACAGAGAATTAGAAAGTGTTTTTTTAACAGTTAGGTAGAAGTTCTTAGAAAAAGTTATTTGCATGAATGTTGGAAACAAGCCAAAGAGGAACAAATACGTTTGTAACGGTAATAAAAATAGTGCATTGTGTGCAGCTTCTAATTCCAGGTAAAAACAAAAAAATCCCAGAAGGGTTGAGTTTCATTAACAGAAATGTTAAAGCTTCCAGACGGACGGTTCGTTAATGACGTCGTCCAATAAATCTCCTCCATGAGGCTTAATTTTCTCTCAGCTCACATGCAACCAAGTTTAACGTCGTGGTTTTCTGCAACAGCAGGGGGTGAAAGCACAATTAAATAATTAATTTAAGGATGTTTTTGTCTAAAAAAAGAAAGAGACTAAAACATCACACAGTGTTTCTTACTGGAACAAATAGGAAACACTAAGAAACACAGATGCGTTCCTCTGAATCTGGAGTGAAAAACTTTAAACATGTCAGAAGTCATCACATCAGAGATTTGTGACCAGAAGTGGTCAAAGTGCACAGTTCTGAACCCAGATGAATCTTCCTCCAGAACATGGTGCGTTCCTCGCTGCAAACAGAGATGTCCCACTGACAGATCCTGACATTTTCATACAAGTTTCCTTGATCAACTAGCTGACATCCAGCAACAATTACAGGACTGTCATAAACTCTCTTAAAGCAGCTTTGGTTTCAGCACATCCTGTCAAATGCAATGAGAGCTGCTTTTACATACCGATTTAATTTGGCCACGTGCAAAAGAACACAAAATCTCTTTAGCCTATGCTTTAGCCACTTTGGGATTTTGCTACACATTCAATGCAACAAGATAAGCAAACAGTAGTCGAATAACTGGTCTGCTTTATGATAGTTGGCTTTCCTTTTGTTTACTGGCTTAAAAACGCCTCGGAACTAAGAGTTTAGAAACTCTTTTTGCAGGTTTCTATTAAATCTATTGATCTTTTCACCTCTGGTTTCCTATTTCCTCTCATTTTTTATTCTTCATGCCACAACAGATGACAAAAAACCTCTCCAGAAAAAAACAACGACCTTCAGAATGACCAAAAAACACCATTTGGTTTAAGTTCTGCACACAGTGCACAGTGAGGTTTTTGAAGACTTTTGTGGTGTGCGCGTGTGTTTCTGTGTGTCTCCCCCCATATGTGTTCATGCATATTGTGTGCACTGCAGTGTAATAGATGACATAGAAACATCCTTAAATCCTTCAAATATTTGAACGTTGTGGCTATTTATTACCCTTTGAAGTTTGCATTCAGCGATTTATGCAGAAGCGTGTTCAAACAAATTAATTTTGTTTGGGAACACTGTCTCTCAGACTCTAATTACTCTGTTAAAACCTCTTTGTAGGTCCGACAGCGGCGCTCCAACAAAGCGCGGTCTCGTGGAGCTTTGCAGTTTGTCAAAGGGTTCCATCAAAAGCCAGTTTACATGAATATTTACATTCCTTTGTAATGTCTCACATCTGAATATTCTCTTAAAGTGGAAAACAAAAATTGTCCTCAAGAGAATGAAAAAAGAAACACAGATTAGGAATCAGAGTGCATCTGGGAAAGGGCTAAATGTGACGTACACAGTAAATGTCACAATGCTTTTAAGGGGTTTTGCCCAGAATACTTCCATCAAACAGCTGTTTATAAAGCCAGAAATGTTATCAAAGTCCAAATTTAAATGGAAAATAGAAGAACTGGGTTTAAAGCTGTCATTCACTCATTTCGATACATTTGCTGTGGTCTATGAATGAATGAATGCCTTGTGAGTGGTTTTTTGAGGCAAAAAGCTCTGGCACTCCTGCTTCAGGAAGTAGAAATTAGCTGGAGGGGAGCAGAAAACATCAGGATTTTGAGTCATACTCATTAATATTCTTAATAATCAGACATCTAATCTCTGATTGGCTAACAGCAACGCAACTCTACCACTGACTCAGCTTGATGTTTTATCTCCACAAATAACACAAGCCTGAAGGAGTTCTGCTGTGTGGTGGAGTTGTTAATCTTAACAGTTAGCTTCTACTAGCCAAGACATGTTCTGCTCTCTACTGGAAGCTACATCAACAACAGTCTTTTTTGTCACAAGCTAAGATGGGTGATTTCATGAATGTTAATGTTACAGTGTGACGTGGATCTGTCTTTTTCTAATCCGAGGGTTTCCTCATCTCTTTTCTATCGGTGGCTAATGCAGGAAGTATGGGTAGAAGACTATTTTCACAATCAGCCTGCATGTGAAACAGAGGCCAATCATATTTAAAAAACAACAAGTAAAAAAGTTTCTCAGTGAACCTGCTCTTTAAAGAGCAAGTCACCCCTACCAGAGTCTTACTACACTCCCACTTGCTGTTTGAAAAATGCAACAAACGCTGGTGCCTGGCAGACCGAAAGGGCGGAGCTGCTAACAAATACACACACACACACACACACACACACACACACACACACACACACACACACACACACACACACACACACACACACACACACACACACACACACACACACACACACACAGGTTCACAACGACATTGTGACATCATAATGTACCAGCTAATATCATAGTATACATCTTAGCCAGTAACAATGGCCGATTTAAATTCAAATGCGTTGCAGAGTTTTTACCTGAAGACGGTACAACATTGACAGCTTTAAGCAGAATATTTTAATTTGAACCAAGATGCACTAAAGTGCCAAATTATTGACTATGCGTGTCTACAGCACAATTAGACACTCAGTTACATAGTTTATCAGCTAAAATAAGTTGATATGGGGGTGACTTGCTCTTTAATCTCTGAAAAAAGCAGGTGAACAAAGTTGTTTCATGCATTGGAGCGCTTAAATGGCATCACTTGACCACAAGCACATCTGTAATAAAAGCTCAGAATGTCATTTTAGTTTAACCAATTGTATTAATAGATAATCAATAAACAGATTGTTTGGTTCACAGTTGCAGAAATCTGAAATAAAAATCAAATTTTTTTTTGTGTGTAATACTGAAGAAGAAAGTTTATTTATCCAATCTTCCATTAGGACATAGATGAATATAAAATGAACATTTACACCAAGGACAACGTTTTGTTTCTAAAAACCTGAATTTAAAAACACAATAAGTGCCCACACTCTCTCTGTTTGTAAGCTGAGTCTCTCCTGTGTTTCACACACACACAGTGGAAGTGGACCAAGACGCGCCTGCAACATCAAACCTGCTCACCCCTCCGTAAAACGCTCCTTAACCTCTCCCCTGTCACACACAAGGTCAATTTCACGCCGGTTTCAAAGCCATAAAGTCTTACTGAGCGAGTCATGCTTTGGGCGTCGGACGACTGAGGAATGCGTTCAGCACCGTCACTCGCACTCAATCACAGAAACACACCAACATATGGAAAGCTGCCCCCCCCCCCCCCTAAAAGAATTACAAATTTTCACCTATGCATCCATTTATCAGAAAACCTCTCTTCTAAATTCTTGTTGCAACCTAAATAGTCTAATTTCATTCCTTTCCCCTGCTTTATTCTCTCCCTCTATGTCCACGTTTCCTATTTTTTTCTTCTTCTGAGAAACAGAAACAAGCGACTGCATGCTGCGTTGTTGGTCTGAGTGGAGAAAGGGCCTGACCCTGAGAAAAAAGGGGAGGAGGGGGTGAAGAGATTTTTGACGCCAGGAGCCCAGACCGCAGCTAATGGAGAACAGGTGTGGCGACAAGTAGAGGAGATACGAGGGGGACAGCAGCGGGCACGGATGCTCCTGCAGCTAAAGATGCTTCACAGCAGCTCTGTCTGTTGTTTGTTCCTAAACAGAGTCCATACAGTGTTTTTGTTTCTTTTTTCCGACTAACCGTGTGGGTGAGGGTAGCTGTAGAGGCTTTGACTTGGAGGTGTGCTGCTGAAGTTGGAGTATCCCAGTAGTCCCGTCTGTCCCGGAGAGTGACTCAGGCCATCTTCTGTCTTAATGTCTGGGAGAAAAACAGCAGAATATTCTTTTTGCCTTCAACATAACCAGTTTTCAGAGCGCCTTCCTCTTTTTATTTACCCAATTAAACTAGTAAAACAAAAGCTACAGTTTGTGTTTGGGGAACTCCAGTTGGCCCCTGGTTTTATGTATCACTAATCTGTAAAAACATATTCTTCATTATATTTTACACGACATGTCACAGATCGTGTTACCCGACACGCTCCTCTTTGTTCCCACTTTTGCTGTTAAAAAAATAGAAGCTACACCAAATAACAAAAGTAATCGAATTGTACTTGCAAGTCACTTTGCAAACATGTTATGCTTTTCAGCGGTTTATTTTGCTGATGTGTCACTAGTGTTTGTACTTACTATAAGACGGCACGCTGTAGCCCTGTGTGTGGTGAGTGTAGTGCGTGTATGGTCCTGCAGGCTGGAGGGCCGGGCTGTACTGAGTCTGTCCATAAGTAGCCATGACACCGATCTTAGAGAAGAAGGACGAAAAATGAGGAAACTTCTTTGTGACTTCTTCTCTTTAGCTGCTGGAACGCGGCATCTGTTTTGCAAACGTTGGAATTTAAAATGAGAAAGAACAGGAACATCAGATGTTTGCTTCCTCAAATATTAAAGAAATACAATATCTAACTACTGACATGCACATTTTCTCTCCATTAGAACAAGCTAACTCGCTAATTTGTCTTTATAATTAAGAAAAAAAATGTGTTTGTGTTGTATGATTAAAAACAATAAAAGTGTTGCAAAAACTTTCTAAAAATGCCAGATGAGTTTGAAACGGTCCTGTAAGACAGAAAAAGTTGAAAAAAAGATCATTTTTTAGAATCATTACTAATTTGTGTGTGTGTGTGTGTGTGTGTGTGTGTGTGTGTGTGTGTGTGTGTGTGTGTGTGTGTGTGTGTGTGTGTGTGTGTGTGTGTGTGTGTGTGTGTGTGTGTGTGTAAGAGAAAGAGAGTGTGTGTGACTTCAATTTTAGCCTCGTTATTTCATTTTACTGATATTTTTCTACCTCTTACGTGAGCTGTCTTTAGTGAGCATAAAGTAAATTTCATTGTACACCTGTGCAATGACAATAAACTATCTTGAATCTTAAAAATAAGTCTAAGCCATGAAAATACGTCAGCACTTGTTTTAAGAAGGGTCATTATGCAAAGAGTTTGCAGAACTTGAAAATTAGTTGCTTGCTGTTAATTTCTAAATTGTCAATTTGTTCTCTCACCTGCTCCTTCTGAGAGAGCCTTCTTTATCCTGTCACACTTCTGCCAGTCAGGTTCCTCTAAAACCCTCAAGTCTCCTGCAGAAAAAATAAAAACCAGAGCGCAGACATGAAGTACACATTTGGTGATTGATTGTAGTCTTATCAAACTCTTTGAAAATAACAAATGAATTGAAATTAAAAAGATAAATTATGTTTCCAAAGAAATCTTTATTGACTCACACACGTCTGCCACTTCTACGGTGTCTGTACACAGAGGGAGTATATCAGGTAAAAACAGGCTGAACGCACCTCAGAGGGAAATGTCAACCTCAGAGTGACAGCGCTGTGTGGGCTGTTCACAAGTCTCCATGTTTTGGTTGACATAACGAGATGAAAGAAAAGGGCAAGATGAGACAGGAGAGCCTGCATTCGTTTTTTATTTATTTCCATGTACAAATTTTCTTATATGTCTATTGATTGTTTGACACATTAGAAGCTGTTGGAAGGTGTAACCACACCTGTAGCCTCAGTGGAAGTAATGACCCATCCAAGGTGGAGGTGTGCTGCTGAAGTTGGAGTATCCCAGTAGTATACACTCCTCTATGCTTTTGGGCAGAATTCTTTAACAATGACTTGAAAATTTTTGCTGCAAATTGTCCAATCACATCAGAAATGTAATGAAGTATAATAAATAAAGCATAATTTGTTAATGTATTTTCCAGCTTGTTTTTAATTTTCTCTATTTTATCTTTATTATATCCATCTATTTTCCTTGCATCTCTATTTGTTCCCGTCTCTCTCTCTCTCTCTCTCTGGATTTGCCTCAGGGCCAAACTTCCTGACCTCCGACCTCACTGATGACATGACAACAGAGACAGATGACACTCATGAAATATTGAGCTGAAACGGTTTTACTGACACATTGGTAACAAGCTGAGAAACATGAAAATTTACAAAGAGGAATCATCAAATCACAATTTGTATGTTCAAGATCTAAAGGATTGCTTTAGTCAGAATTTCGATAATTTTTAAATCTGAATTCTAAAGACATGTTGGTTTTAACTTTGTTATTTTGTCTCAGGAAATAGTTTTAGCTTTGTTTTAAGGGCTGACAATCATGATTTAATCTTCATTTCAGACAGGATCAGAAGGTCAGGAACATGACTCTAAAGCTAGAATAATGTAAAGGGATGTTTTTTACTTTTACTCCATGACTTTCATTGTCATTCAGAATCACACACAACGCGTGACAGCCAAGGCACTTCCTGGTTGAGGGCGAGGCCTGGGAGGAGGGTGTCCAAGGCCATGGGAACTACAGGACACCGGAGGGAGGACGAGCGGAGCACAGCAGAGATGTGGTGAGCCAAGGTCTGAAACTGAAGCTAAAACAAACCCAGCAGGGCCACGGGGGGCCACGAGGCCATAAAGCCAGTCCCAGCAGCTTCACCTGGCTTCCAGGGTTCTGCTAGACTGCTGCTTCTTTCACGGATATCAAATTCAGGCCTTTGTGCTGCATATTGTCCTTAAAGTTAAGATGCAATTTGACACAGTTAAAGGGAATAATGACTAACCCACAGGGTGATGAAAACCTGACGGACAGAAAACACTTAATTAAGAGGCCTGCACACTCATAAAGACACTGACCCCTGACAGCTGAAGACAGACGACTATAAGACAAATTTGTTGCTAGCCATTCATTTATAGGGAAGAATCGAGTTATTCTCTAGTTAATCCGGGCTGCCCAATAACCAGGTGGACTGATGGTGACCATGATGATTCAATTAACTGTAAAGTAAAATAAAACCAAAGACAAGTTTGTGATTGAGACATTCGTTTCTAAGTCCTTGATGCTGTTTCAAGTCACTTCTATCTACTTCCTCCTTCTAGGGAGTGAAACTACAAGGAAAGAAAGCAATATTTTTTGGCAGCATTTAAATTTGTAGCATTAAAATCCACCAGAGAGCGATCAGTTTATCAGTTATTTTGGTTTGTGTGTGTGTGTGTGTGTGCGTGTGTGTATGTGTGTGTGTGTGTGTGTGTGTGTGTGTGTGTGTGTGTGTGTGTGTGTGTGTGTGTGTGTGTGTGCGTGTGTGTGTGTGTGTGCTTTGTCCTCTCAAACCTCAGTCAGTCATGGCGGATGGCTGGTCCTAACTGAGCCAGGTTCTGCTGAGGTTTCTTCTTGTTAAAGGAGGGTTTTCCTCTCCATTGTCTCTGTGTGACTTTACAGCAACCCCCATACTAAGTGTGTTTACATGCCCATCAGAAAACCAAACTGTTGCCCTATGCATGTAAACGCGTGAGTCTTGCTGAAGGTGAACTGGTTCTTATCATGCTGAAGAACCCAATTGGGGTAGAAAACCGACTGCATCTTCTTGTAAACGGTTCAGTCAAGCTCATGCTGGTGACTTCCAGAAGTGACGAGACTGCAGAAGTGGTTTTCTGATATCATCGCCACAAAGTAACACGTGTAACACCATCAAACAGTACGTACCAAATAAACTGTGCTGCAGCGTTGTTGTTGTCCATTCCTTCAGCCATTGTGCATATGATAAATGGTCTGGATTTGTATAGAGCCTTCTTAAGACATTCACCCATTCACAACCTGGTGGGGATTACCTATGATGTAGCCACAGGCCTGCTGAGCACAGGCGCCACCGGTACCCCCGACCACTGGGATTGAACCTGCAACCTTCCGATTACTGATCAGCCAGCTCTAGCTCCTGAGCGACTGCTGTCCCTATCCTGTTTACTCTTTATGTTGCTATAAGCTAACTGGAAGAACACTGATGCAAAAGGGTGCATGTCGCTTCCTATTGTACTGAAATGCACAAACTTTATTTGATACTTTAGTTTCCTAACCTACATGTAAACTAGGATAAAGGCTCCCAGTTTATTACTTTAGATTGACCCAAATCAACTTAAGCCGGGCGGACACTGAGTGACTTTTTCACTTTTTTGAGCCAATTTTCCACTCGTGCAAGAATCCACAAGATCGGGGCGAGTTTTGCGCCGAGCGTCGTGTAGTGTACAGGGGGTTACGAGAGGCGATTAACACCACGTGACCAGCTACCGATCAGCAATCATGAGCTCGCACGGACTTCTGGAGTGTTTAATATTTTGCTCGTTCCTCGTGAGGGTTGAAGAGGCGCAGCAAGCGGCTGCGACCCAAAAAGTACCAGAACCGCTCACGGCGCATACACAATCGTGCCTCAACACCGCCCGCCTGCTATTTCCATAATAACACACGTTGTTCGTTTTTATTTCTACATGTTTTTTTTACACACAGTGACAAAGATTGTCAAGAAAGCGTGCTTGTCGTGTTTGTGGCAAATTAAACTGATCACAAAACACAGATTTACTTTCTTTATTTCGTTTTCCTCATCCAACCCCCATAAATCCCTGTGTGTCCTCCTGCAGCACTCCCGAAGGACAACAGGCAAAACAAGACAAAAAAGCTGACGTGTTGTGTAAAAACGGCTATTTTTAGCATATTTTTTTGGTCCGACGTCGTGTTGCTACCAGACGTACAGTGTGAGCAGTCAGGTCGCATCCGAGAACTGGGTCGTACAGTGAGCACATGACTCGTGAGATCTGCCCTGCAGTTGTACAGTTTGAGCTGAAGCTGAGTGCTACGAGTGAAAAAGTCGCACAGTGTCCGCCCAGCTTAAGATGCACATGTAAATGCACTGACTGACACAACAAGTCAGTGACTCAACACAATCTGCTGGGTTTTGTTAGCTAGGAAACTTTTAACTAATGTGAATAATGACCGGAACTCGGTGCACTGATAAGAAGTTCATTTGGATTATTTATTTTGTAAAGTGACGACTCCTGTTGTGAACTGGTGCTACATAAATAAACTGAACTGAAATGTGTCTCACAGAAGTTGTGTGTGATTCCAAAAACTGATGTTTATTGGAGGCCAGCAGCTAGCCCAACACGTCAAGCTAGTCTTCTGCATGTTTAACATGGATCAGTAATCATCTTGTCCGATGCCTTTCTGAACGTGCACACGTGTGTTTGCAGCGTCAGCACGTGAGCTGTTTCTCAGTCCGCTGCGGTGGCAGCCGGATGGTCTGACCTTTCACTGAAACAGCATGGCTCTAAATCAGCAGCCTGAAAAAGGTGCCTCACTGCTCTGTTATCACGCCATATGGGACCCCACCTGGAGCCCTCGACTTGGACAGTCTCCCTAAGCGCCTGGGGGAATTTAGGGTGGAGGGGTTCTCAGTTGCTGATAAAAGACGTGGAACAAGGGGCCACTATCTGGGTCTGTGTGACACTGTCATGGTTTTCTGGATAGGAAAATGGTGCCATCTGCCAACTACAATCCTCTTTATTCATCTTTGATGAACAGACCAGCGAGGCATGCTGGAGGAATCACCAAAAGTAAAATAAGTGGCTATTTGTGATTAAGTTCTGTTTGATCACAAACACTATGCTTTGTAAAATTAATATATACAGATTTATTACCGCAAAAAAAATCTGAATGAAACGTTTTCCAGATAGTTTCCTTCAAATATTGAGGTTTTATTTACATAAACCATGTCCTCCAACTAAAACAGATGCTGCATTCCAGTAACTAGTTTACATTTTAATTGGCAGTAATATATAACATGATAAGTGATTTATCAATTAATAATTTTAAGTGAGTTTAGATGTGATGTAGTATATTTAGTGTAGAGTTCATTTGAGTACGTCACCATGTTTTTGTCCTAAAGCTGTTTTCTATAGATGCAGAATGTGGGACAAATACTGCAGGTTTATTTTGATTATCTGCTATTATTTGTCTTATTGTTGGAATTTATATAACAAATAGAAAAATAGATAAATCACATAAATGTCAGATTAGGGCAAACCAATAAGGCATTTTATTACAATTATATATAATGTTAGATTAATATTTTCACATGCATTAATCTTTCACATCCAGAAATAGGGGGTTTCCTTTTACTTTTGCATGTTTCCTTAATTTAGGATGAGAAGAGGTAATAATATTGTAAAACTAACAGTACCGATACAAAGATAAAATTAAAGTAAGGTAATACATTTTTGTTCAAACGTATCCATGATGTTAAGATTTTTTATTAATGTAGTTTTTATTGGTGTTTATTTAAATGAAATTAAAAATGTCCATTAAAAAGGGTTTATAGCTGTTGATTATTTGAATAAAATAATATTAATGATGACGACAAAATGAATGATAAAGAGTGTGTTTTCGTGGCCTTATTTCCCTTTTCTGTCCAGCTTGTTTTTGTAGTTAGAATTACATAAAAAATGAATGCATAATCACCAAGAAATGTACACTGAAAAAAAAGAAAACCCGACACACCTACTTTTTTTTCTATTTGCTAAAATAATAAAACAAAAGAATAGAGGTGTTACTATGCTTCATTCACCTGCTGACTAAATGACCCGCATCAGTAGATAAACAATCCAGGTTTGTACAACCACAGCTATTATACAACATTTACAATCGCAGCCAAATCACTGGGCAAATCGAACAACCAGGTTAAGAACACACACACACACACACACACACACACACACACACACACACACACACACACACACACACACACACACACACACACACACACACACACACACACACACACAACGGAGTCTAATAAACCCGAGGCAGCGGTGAACCTGTTGTAGTCTCCGTCTGTAACTTTACCTCCAGACTTGATGGGCTTTGCTTTACACTCGAGTAACTCCCGCAACAAGCCAGCCGCTCCTCGCCTCAGTAATCAAAACCACCTCATACGTTAGTGTGGATTTTTACCTTCCTGTTTCTAAAGGTCACAGTTTTTGATCAGTTCCTTCAAAAAAAAAAAAAATAAAAAATAAAAAACAACACTCCATCATTTTCTCTACTTTCTAATTCTTTATTTCGTCTCTTCCACATGTGAGTTTGCTCCCCAAGTCCAAGGACTTTGTGATCCTTTAATTCTACCAACTAGAGGGACCACCTACCCCAAGGCCCAGACCCCATCTCTCCTCGAATCAGTGCCCCAGGACGGTGGGTCAGGGAGAGGGACAGCTGGCAGACCTCCCAGCAGTCTGGAGGGGCGGGTGTGTAGTTGAAGGACTTGGTTGACCCCAGTCAGATGGTGGTCTAGCTCCCAGGTAAAAAAAAAAAAAACATCTGGTCCAGAAATGGAAAGGGTGGTCGCACAGACCCTCGCACTTTCAGAAGCAACACACGCTTGACTGCATGAGCTCTCCTGCCTTCGCTAATGAACTCACACGCACGCACGCACGCACGCACGCACGCACACACACACACACACACACACACACACACACACACACACACACACACACACACACACCACACACACACACACACACACACACACACACTGCTTTATTAGTCATTAGGATGAAAAGGTTTGCCCTCAATCAGTCTCTTCTGCACGTGATGGCAACAGGCCGTTCTAGTTGCTAACAGCTGGCCAGACAGAGGCAACTAGTAGGTGAGGCTCGCAGACAGAGAAGTGTCTGGTTCATTTTACTGATAAATCTTGTAAAAGCTTGAGTGAAAAGCAAAAAAATAATAATAATTGATACTGCATGCAACGATAGGAATAATGTTGAAAACACAGCTTAGATATTGGAAAAGTAAAGCTAATTTCTGATTTTCTTCTTTCAAACATGTTTTAGCTAAAAAGAAAAATGGAAGAAGACATGGCCAGTGATTTCTTTTTTTGCAATGTGTGTGGTTGTATCCTTCTCAAGATGAGATAAGGAGAGACAGAGTGAGACAGCTGCTGTCTGCTGACAGGACAGGGTTTATTACACACTCACAGACCTACATACACCACCACTGGGCCTCCCCAAGAGCTCCCCGGGGACTTCGGGAAATTGAAAAAAGAGGGCGGAATGGAGGGGAGAGGCTTCTTTGAGTGGAGTCTGATAACTTTAGAGGGTGTCAAATTGTTTGAAAGCCAACCAGCGAATCCAACAAACTCTGAAGCCAATAACAAGAAAGTGTGGTTGCACATACCTGCGATGTCCGACAGCACAAAGAATGTATCAAATGTAGGCAGACTAATAACTCAATATTGTACAGGGTTGAGCATGAACTCCGTATTTGAAAAATGTTTTGCTTCACAAGATGCTTCTGCAATTTTAAAATGTTTGCATACTTTGACTTTTCCGTTTGTGCGGACTGCCACACATCCCAAATTATCGTCAGGACCCAATTATTGAAATTTAGAAAAAAGTGGTGAATTTGTAATTATTTTGCTATACAACTGAAAAAATGAAAAAGTAAAAAAAAAAAAAAAAGTACACAGTGGCTTGCACGTTTAATTGTGTGACGTCATTCCCGTCTCTGTCTGAATTAACCATGCAGCATATGATTGCGCAATTTCTCTGCTTGTCAAAGACCAGCCAAACTGGTCAGTTGGTGTAATTGTCTCCCCAAGTCACTTATTATTCACTGTGTGCAAAGTGTTGGAATACAGTCAAATAAATATGTCTGGTGAGGCAGGCAAACAAGGCAGATCACAATGACCGCAACTGAATTTAGACAAATTTGCTTAGCACACAATGTTGGCCAAAACAAAGAGAAAGCTGTTAACTCAGACTTCCATATCTGGGGATCATATAATCAACCGAGACGATGTACAAAACGCCTCTGCTCCATGATGGAATCCTGTCACTCAAGCGCAGCAAATTAAACATTTTTCAAGTTGTTCTGTTCAGCCCGAAAGTTCTCAACGTCAAGTAAGGGCAACCATTTGACTCCCAGCCAGAAAGAGTTTGGAGGATGACAAAAGGACGAGCAAAAGCTTGGAGGCATCAAGAACCAGGGCAGCTGTGGGGGAATAGAATAAAACTGGTGGAGATAAAGTCAGGAAGAACAGAACTTCCTAGGAAAATATTTATCATTCCAGGAACATTTGGCCACGGAGTGGTTTAGAATTAATTTGTGTTTTCTTAAGAGGGGGTGCCTTGCGCTACAGGATGGGGAATTCTCCACAACCCCGGACTTTCTGGGCTGCTGCTTATTCACAATTTATTAGAGCTGGTAATAAGAACCATGAAGGCTGAGGGGGAGATCGGCTCAGAGGGTCTTGGGTCAGCCTTAGAGAGGGGATCCAAGAACGGGGCCTATGTGTTATTAGGAGACGAACCACAGCGTTAAATCAAACACACCTTCGGTATGTGCTCCGCTGCCTGCCTGCCTCCACCAGAGCCCTGGATGTTATTTGTGAGGTTTAAAACACGGGAGACTTAGTGGGATTTACAACCCAATGGATATCTGAATATGATATCTGAAATAAGAACCTCCATTTGGCTGGCCAGAGGCCTTGGAAACTCGTAATTGACACGGTTAAAAAGAGCACGAATAGAATTTAACTTACCATATTTTCCTATTCATTTGTGCTTTTGTCCAATTAATGGCATAAAATGTAAAAAAACACATGCTTCAAGCTAATTTATTGTCATCTTTACTCATAAACAAAAATGACAGGACCTCATTAATTATTTGTTTTCCAAATGTCCAGCCGAGAGAAATGACTGAATGTGGATTAAATGGTTCTAAAAAGGACAGAGAGTGACTTTCTACTCTGAAGGCATGAAGGGGTCCTTGGAAAAAAAATGAATACCAGCTTTGAAAAAAATGCTTAGTGTGGCTCCCCCATAATTTTCTTTAATGACGGTCTCTGCGTGCAGCTGGGGGTGTCAGTGATTTGGCTGTAATCTTCTGTAGTTAGGCCTGAGCAGAAAGTGCTGCACTGATTCAAGTAACACCAAGAAAAACAAAGGGGCTCCATTAGAATAGGCAGCCCTTGACACTGTCTCCATTCACGTCTTTATATAACTCAGTTCCTGACAAATGATCTCTTTACTGATGCCAATGTGTGAACTTTTTCCTTCTACAAACAACTCTTTATTAAACTGAATAAATTAACTTTTAAATAAATGTAGAATTTATTTTCATTTGAAAAATCATCTTGAATTATTATTATTATTATCATCATCATCAATATTATTATTAGCCTAACTGCAATAAAAAAAACTTTATACACACACACACACACACACACACACACACACACACACACACACACACACACACACACACACACACACACACACATTTCATTTAAATACTATTTTAAAAACTAAATGTGTCCAGGTATCTTTTTATTCAAATATTAAATGAAAATCAAAATATTTTTAAAATATTGCCTTTCAAAGAAAGGATTACCGTAAACATACATGCATTTTAAAAGCTGGTGCTTTTTTACGCGTCTAAGTCAAATAAGTAGTCACAATTATTTCAGTAAATATGAAAATAAGTGGCCTTGTTAAAGCTAAAGATGAGTATTATTAGGATCTTGATAGGAGTGTTGACTTAAGTCATCAAACAGAAATAAATGTAAAGACTGACAGAATAAAGTTTGTTTCTTTTAAAGGAAATGAAATAAAATAAACCAAACAGTCCAAGATAATTAAAGACACTTTCCACTCACCATTATCTACAATTATTCGAACGCAGGAAGAATCCGGTTATCACTCAGATCTCCGCCTCCGCAGATTTTACAGACGGTCTCGAAGAAAATCAGCGCCGAGCTGAGAGCTCCTGCACCGGCGCGGGGGTCAAACGAGCGCCGCTGTGGGTGGCGGAGGCTTCGGGTGAGACTCTCACCTGCCTCACCTCTGCTCCCCGGCTGCTTTAGGAGGAGTGTTTGCTTTACCGGCGGCGGGGAAGTGATGTTAAGTAAATGAGCGAAGATTTCTGGTTCCTCCTCCTCCTCCTCCTGCTGTTTGTCGAAGAGGCGCGCGCGCTGCGCAGCACGCGGCCGTGTGTGCGCGCGCGTGCTCTCCTTTTCCTTTTATCCCTACCGCTATGGTCAGAAAGCCTGAGCAGCAGAGGTGCCTCTCTTCTCTATCTCCCGATCAAATCTTTGTTTGGTGAAGAGCTCTTCTCCCCGGTGTTTACACAGCGATCCTCTGACTGTTTACCAAGACTTTCTGCTGCAGTGTGCACCCAAACATGAAGCTTGTTCAGATTGTGGTAAAATACCTCCAGGCTATTGACTGGTTTATCAAGAGTTTATCTTTGCAACTTTGCAACTCCCTCCTCTGGCTTCATTCCTAGGAGACTTACTGTAACCTGGTGACATTTTACAATTTAAATTTGAGATATTTCCCTGTTCGTGTCCTTTGAAAATTAATACTGTAGATTAAACAAAGAAGGGTGGTTGATGAAACATAAAAATACCACACCATAAATAAATAGTTCTGTTTTAGATCGAATTTAAATAAACTACCTATTGGTTAATGATAAACGGAATCTATTAATATTGCATCTTCTAGAGTCCCTGAACCCCCAAGACACTTTTCAACACAAGCCTAAAATGTTTCTAAGTCTTTTGGCGGAATAAATACCAGCTGCATGAGGTAAAGTAAACCTTTTATATACGTAAATATGTTTAAAGTGGAGGAAATGTTTCTTTTGCCATTATTTCTGAAATTACCAGAGGTGTCAAGTATTCACATTCATCTTTCTTAAATTTGTTCTGTGTTGGTTATCCAGTTCCATTATTTGGTTCTTTTCTGCACACAGTGATAAAGATTTATATAAGATTTAAAGGCCTATCACAAGCTTTGGGTAGTGACTGAAACAACGATAATGCGGCGGATACAAGCGGCCAAAATGAGTTTTCTCCGCAGGGTGGCTGGGCTCTCCCTTAGAGATAGGGTGAGAAGCCCGATCATCCGGGAGGGGCTCGGATTAGATCCGCTGCTCCTCCACATCGAGAGGAGCCAGTTGAGGTGGCTCGGGCGTCTAGTTAGGATGCCTCCTGGACGCCTCCCTGGTGAGGTTTTCCAGGCAGGTCCAACCGCAAGAAGACGTCGTCGTCTTCCTCCGCTTATCCGGGTCCGGGTCGCGGGGGCAGCATCCCAACTAGGGAGCTCCAGGCCGTCCTCTCCCCGGCCTTGTCCACCAGCTCCTCCGGCAGGACCCCAAGGCGTTCCCGGACCAGATTGGAGATGTAACCTCTCCAACGTGTCCTGGGTCGACCCGGGGGCCTTCTGCCGGCAGGACATGCCCGAAACACCTCCCCGGGGAGGCGTCCAGGAGGCATCCTGACCAGATGCCCAAACCACCTCAACTGGCTCCTTTCGATCCGGAGGAGCAGCGGTTCTACTCCGAGTCCCTCCCGAATGTCCGAGCTCCTCACCCTATCTCTAAGGCTGAGCCCGGCCACCCTACGGAGGAAACTCATTTCGGCTGCTTGTATCCGCGATCTCGTTCTTTCGGTCATTACCCAAAGCTCATGACCATAGGTGAGGATTGGGACGTAGATCGACGGGTAAATCGAGAGCCTGGCTTTCTGGCTCAGCTCCCTCTTCCCCACGACAGATCGGCTCAGCGTCCGCATCACTGCAGACGCCGAACCAATCCGCCTGTCGATCTCCCGATCCCTCCTACCCTCACTCGTGAACAAGACCCCGAGATACTTAAACTCCTCCACTTGAGGTAGGACCTCTCCCCCGACCCGGAGGTGGCAAGCCACCCTTTTCCGGTCGAGAACCATGGTCTCAGATTTGGAGGTGCTGATCCTCATCCCAGCCGCTTCACATTCGGCCGCGAACCTACCCAGCAAGAGCTGAAGGTCAGAGCTGGATGAAGCTAGGAGGACCAAATCATCCGCAAAAAGCAGAGACGAGATTCTCCTGCCACCAAACTCGACACACTCCACACCACGGCTGCGTCTAGAAATTCTGTCCATAAAAGTGATGAACAGAACCGGTGACAAAGGGCAGCCCTGGCGGAGTCCAACCCTCACTGGAAACAGGTCCGACTTACTACCGGCTATGCGGACCAAACTCACGCTCCTCTGGTAAAGGGACTGAATGGCCCTTAACAGAAAACCACCCACCCCATACTCCTGGAGCGTCCCCCACAGGGTGCCCCTGGGGACACGGTCATAAGCCTTCTCCAAATCCACAAAGCACATGTGGATTGGTTGGGCAAACTCCCATGCCCCCTCCATCACCCTTGCAAGGGTATAGAGCTGGTCCACAGTTCCACGGCCAGGACGAAAACCACATTGCTCCTCCTCTATCTGAGATTCAACTATCGATCGGACCCTCCTCTCCAGTACCTTGGAGTAGACCTTTCCAGGGAGGCTGAGGAGTGTGATCCCCCTATAGTTGGAACACACCCTCAGGTCACCCTTCTTAAAGATGGGGACCACCACCCCGGTCTGCCACTCCCTAGGAACTGCCCCCGATGACCACGCAATGTTGTAGAGACGTGTCAACCATGACAGCCCTACAACATCCATAGCTTTGAGATACCCAGGACGAACCTCATCCGCCCCCGGGGCTCCGCCGCTGTGTAGTTGTTTGACTACCTCAGCAACTTCTGCCCCCGAGATCGGACAGTCCATCCCCAGGCCTCCCAGCTCTGGTTCCTCCTCGGAATGCGCATTGGTGGGATTGAGGAGCTCCTCAAAGTATTCCTTCCACCGTCCGACTATAGCCTCAGTTGACGTCAGCAGCTCCCCATCCCCACTGTAAACAGTGTGAGCGAGTTGCTGCCTTCCTCTCCTGAGGCACCGGACAGTTTGCCAGAACCTCTTTGGAGCCGATCGATAGTCTTTCTCCATGGCCTCACCAAACTCCTCCCACGCCCGAGATTTTGCCTCGGCAACTGCCACTGCTGCACCCCGCTTGGCTATCCGGTACCTGTCTGCTGCCTCCGGAGACCCACAGACAGCCACGCCCTGTAGGCCTCCTTCTTCAGCCTGACGGCTCCCCGAACCTCTGGTGTCCACCAGCGGGTACGGGGGTTGCCACCACGACTGGCACCGGCCACCTTACGACCACAGCTAGCAACAGCCGCCTCGACAATCGCAGAGTGGAACAAGGCCCACTCAGACTCAATGTCCCCCACTTCTCTCGGGACGTGGTCAAAGCTCTGCCGGAGGTGGGAGTTGAAGACCGTCTTGACAGGTTCTTCTGCCAGGCGTTCCCAGCAGACCCTCACTATGCGTTTGGGTCTGCCAGGTCTACGTGGCATGTTCCCTTGCCATCTGATCCAACTCACCACCAGGTGGTGATCAGTTGACAGCTCCGCCCCTCTCTTCACTCGGGTGTCCAAAACATACGGCCGCAGGTCAGATGATACGACTACAAAATCTATCATCGACCTGTGACCTAGGCTGCCCTGGTACCAAGTGTACCGGTGGGCATCCTTATGTTCGAACATGGTGTTCGTTATGGCCAAACTGCGGCTTGCACAGAAGTCCAATAACAAAACACCGCTCGAGTTCAGATTAGGTGGGCCGTTCCTCCCAATCACACCCCTCCAGGTCAAGCTGTCATTGCCCACGTGAGCATTGAAGTCCCCCAGCAGGACAATGGAGTCCCCTGATGGAGCACTATCTAGCACTCGTCCCAGGGACTCCAAAAAGGGTGGGTACTCTGAACTGCTATTTGGCCCATAAGCACAAACAACAGTCAGGACCCGTTCCCCGACCCGAAGGCGCAAGGAAGCTACCCTCTTGTCCCCCGGGGTAAACCCCAACACACAGGCAGAGAGTCTCGGGGCTAACAAAAAGCCAAACCCAGCCCTCCGCCTCTCACCCGGAGCAACTCCAGCAAAGTAGAGTGTCAAACCCCTCTCCAGGTCTCGGGTTCCAGAGCCAATGCAATGTGTCGAGGTGAGTCCGACTATATTTAGCCGGTACCGCTCAACCTCTGCCACAAGCTCTGGCTCCTTCCCCGCCAGCGAGGTGACGTTCCATGTCCCAAAAACTAGTTTTCTTGTCCGGGGATTGGACCGCCAAGGCTCCCGCCTTGGTCTGCCACCCGATTCGCATTGCACCGGACCCTTCATGTTCCTCCTGCGGGTGGTGGGTCCACAGTTGGACGAGCCCATGTATCCGGTTCGGGCTGGGCCCGGCCAGGCCCCATGGGCGAAAGCCCGGCCACCAGGCGCTCGCTCACGGGCCCCAACCCAAGGCCTGGCTCCAGGGTGGGACCCCGGTAACCCTCCGGGCCGGGTACTCCGACTCTTCGTTTTAACCGCCATGAAAGATCCTTCGATGCCTGGAGTCTTCACCTCCGGCCAGCAACGCTAACCCTGCAAGAAGACCTAAATGAAAACCCAGGACACGCTGAGGGATCATGTCTCTCAGCTGGCCAGGGAACGCCTTAGAATTCCCCTGGAGGAGCTGGCCCAAGTGGCCGGGAAGAGGGAAGTCTGGGCTCAGACTGCAGCCCTTGTGACCCGACCCCTGATAAGCCGCCGAAAATGGATGGATTAAAGATTTATATAAATCTTTATTACTCTTTGTGCAGAAAAGAACCAAATAATGTATTCGCAGTCATTACTTAGATTGAAGCATAGATACTGGGTTTCAAAAGACTTCTGTAGAAGTTGAAGTCAAGAATTTTTACTCAAGTAAACATGTGAAAGTACTGGTTTCAAAACTATATAAATTATAAATGTAACATAAATGGTTGATAGGTCTATCGAAGAGGCAGTAGCATCAGACACATAATTGGCTTTACATCAAAGATAAACAGATAGATACGATGAATGACTGTTCTCATATGTACAAGCAGTCAAAACAGACTTAAAACAATGTTTAAGGACTCAGAAGCAGGTGCATTGATCAGAAACTACTGCTGCATTGAATTATTGAAGGTAGATGATGGAAGGTTGTGAGCTTTAGTGATTTTTGCAGCTCATTCTAGTCTTTGGAAGCAGCAAACAAACAAAAGGAGGTGCGAGCTTTGGGAATACCATACCGTGGTGGAGAAAGTCAGTGGACAGTTTGATGATCCA